GCCTCCCTCCTCCATCCCAAAGGCTATCTCAGATAAGGCAGCGAAAAAAACGCATGCACGATGAAATGTTCTCTGAGCTCATGCAGTCGTCTGGCACTGACAGAGCTCAGCAGAATGTGTGGAGGGACACAATAGCAGAGTACAGGAAAGTGGCTGATGAACGTGAGGAAGGATGGCAGCAGGAAGATCAGAGAAGGTATGATGCAACGCTGGGGCTACTGCGGGATCAAACGGACATGCTCTGGCGTCTGGTGGAGGTTCATGAACGACAGCAGGATCACAGACTGTCACTGCAGCCCCTGTTTAACTGCCCTCCCTCCTCCCCAAGTTCCATAGCCTCCTCACCTAGACGCCCAAGAACGCCGGGGTGGCGGGGAAGGCTCCGGGCACCCAACAACTCCACACCAGTGGACAGCCCAAGCAACAGAAGGCTGTCATTCAACAGGTTTTGAAGTGGCCTTTTCCTTCCCTCCTACCCTCCTCGCACACCCCACCCAGGCTACCTTTTGAGTTATCTCCCTATTTTTATAATCAATTAATAAAGAATACATGTTTTTTAAACGATAGTGACTTTATTTCCTTTGCACGTAAGCTGTGATCGAAGGGGGGAGGGCAGGTGGCTTACAGGGAATTTAGAGGCAACCAAGATGATTAGATGATTTAGTCGGGGATTGGTCCTGCTTTGAGCAGGGGGTTGGACTAGATGACCTCCTGAGGTCCCTTCCAACCCTGATATTCTGTGATTCAAGGGGGCGGCTTTTCATCAAGGAGAAACAAACAGAAGTGTCACACAGTACCCAGGCCAGTCATGAAACTGGTTTTCAAAGCTTCTCTGATGCGCAGTGCCACCCTGGTGTCTGGCTGCACGTATTCAGCGACCAGGCAATTTACCTGAACCTCCCACCCCGCCATAAACATCTCCCCCTTACTCTCACCAAGATTGTGGAGCACACAGCAAGCAGCAATAACAATGGGAATATTGGTTTCGCTGAGGTCTGAGCAAGTCAGTAAACTGCGCCAGCGACCCTTTAAACGTCCAAATGTGCACTCTAACAACATTCTGCACTTGCTCAGCCTACAGTTGAACAACTCCTTACTACTGTCCAGGGTGCCTGTGTATGATTTCATGAGCCAGGGCATTAAGGGGTAGGCTTGGTCCCCAGGGAAAACTATAGGCATTTCAACATCCCCAACAGTTATTTTCTGGTCTGGGAAGTAAATCCCTTCCTGCAGCTGTTTAAACAGACCAGAGTTCCTGAAGACGCGAGCATCATGAACCTTTCTCGGCCATCCCACATTGATGTTGGTGAAACATCCCTTGTAATCCACCAGTGCTTGCAGCACCATTGAAAAGTACCCCTTGCGGTTTATGTACTGGCTGCCCTGGTGGTCCGGTCCCAAGATAGGGCTTTGTGTTCTGACTATAACCCCAACACAGTTAGGGAATCCCATTGCAGCAAAGCCATCTAGTGTGACCTGCACATTTCCCAGAGTCACTATGTTTGATAGCAGCAGCTCAATGACTGCGTTGGCTACTTGCATCACAGCAACCCCCATGGTAGATTTGCTCACTCTAAATTGATTCCCGACTGACCGGTAGCTGTCTGGCGTCGCAAGCTTCAACAGGGCTGTTGCCACTCACTTGTGAACTGTGAGGGCTGATCTCATATTGGTATTCTGGCACTTCAGGGCAGGGGGAAAACAAGTCACAAAGTTCCATGAAAGTACCCTTACGCATGCGAAAGTTTTGGAGCCACTGGGAATCATCCCAAACCTGCAACACTATGCGGTCCCACCACTCTGTGCTTGTTTCCCGTGCCCAGAATTGGCGTTCCACAGCATGAGCCTGCCCTAGTAACACCATGATCTCCAAATTGCCGGGGACCGCGGTTTTAGAGAAATCTGTGTTCATGTCCTCATCACCACACTGCCGTTGCCTCCTCGCCTGGTTTTTCAGGTGCTGGTTCTGCATATACTGCTGAATAATGTGCGAGGTGTTTACAATGGTCATAACTGCTGCGGTGAGGTGAACGGATTCCATGCTTGCTGTGCTATGGCATCTGCTCGGGCAATCCAGGGGAAAGGGCGCAAAATGATTTTCTGCTGTTGCTTTCACGGAGGGAGGGAGGTTTGACTGATGACATTTACCCATAACCACCTGCGACAAATTTTTGGCTCCATCAGGGATTGGGAGCTCAGCCCAGAATTCCAATGGTCAGCAGGAACTGTGGGATAGCTATCCACAATGCACCGCTCGGCATGTCGACGCTTGCCACAGTACTGTGGACGCACACCACCGAATTAATGTGCTTAGTATGGACGCATGCACACTACTTTATACAATCTGTTCCCAAAAATCGACTTCTGTAAAATCGGAGTATTTTCATAGTGTAGACATGGCCTAACAGATAGTCTCTAAGGTGCCACAAGTACTCCTTGTTGTTTTTGCTGATACTGACTAACATGGCTACCACTCTGAAACCTAGAAAAGAAGTGTTTATAGAGGACTTATGCTGTATTGATATTACAGTGAATAAAAATTATATTAAACTGTTGGCTTATTTCACTCAGTTCTCCATACTTTTACTGATACAAAGCTGGTTGGGCAACCCTTACTTCTGTAAGTGCTATTTGGTATGGTCAGTTGACGCCACTCAACATGATTATGGGATGCAAAAGTAAATAGAAGGTGAATACCGCTCAACTACATCAGCCCTTGTAATTAAAATTTTAATCCAGGCTTCACAGGATACATAGCTGGATGCTCATATACTGTACAGAACTCCACACAGGAGCTGCTTGAATCATATTTGTATGTAGTAATTTTAAATGTTTCAAATCAAAATCACTGAGTAACTTATCCGTAAATATATTTTTTTCACTAGTTCACCAGTCCTAAAGATGGCTGAATAATAATGTAATAGAGAACTGGAACCATAAACTCACTGAACATTAAATCCCACCAAATGAGGGTAGATCCATCCCAATCATCGTATCCACTCATTATACTCCACATGTGAACATAGCCATTATATGGACAACATACCCCCATATCTCAATGTCTGTACTTTGACCGGTTAAACTTTTACCCCCAATCGGGGAGATTGCAGATTATGTATTCTTTACGCCACCCGTTCCTAAACCGAATTTCGCACCCTTTGATAATCTGTACCTTATTCCCTGATAACCAGAAACTTCTATGCCTAAACTCTGTACCGTTTTCTTTTTTACTTCAACATTATCTTAATAAAATTTATTTGCCATCCCCTCTGTGTCACCCCCCCCCCCACACACGTGGCATGGCATTTATTTAGTGTATAATTACTATTAGACCAGTTCCAGTCAATATTTACTTGGCATATCATCATCATTTTCATTATAAAGACCTGTTTACTGTGCCAGTGATCATTATAAGCAAGTTTACTGAGTGCAACCTAGCAGGAGAGAGAACTTTCATTAAAAATAGCAGGGAACTTTTCAGCAAAAATAAGCAAATAATGCACAGGGAAATAAACCATAATGATCAACTTATGACTTTTGAGACCTTGTTGGCTCACAGAAGTGAAAAGCCAACAGACAGCATGCCCTCTGTTCAAGTACCCTGGGGCTTCCAACGCACTACTCTCCTACTGTTTTAAACCACAGCCAATGTTTGTAGATTAGTTTAAGAGCTGCTGTGTCTTTTTTATGTGTTATAATCTCCCACAAACCTTCACCCAGTGTTAGTTCAAGTAGTTGTCAGTGAGATGCCTCTGCTTAATATTTAACTGCTGGGGACTAGGATTTGAGGGTGCTAGAGGCTTTGTATTTTTAAATTTGGGACTTGTCAAAATGCTAAGAGGCAAGACAGTGCTGGTGACAAAAGAGCTGGTAGCCATTATAGAAGAGGAGCAATGTGCGACTAGGATGTCAGTTCTGGCAGCTGCAAAATTGAGAGCCTTGTTTTTAGAAGTTGTAGTAGGCCACATATATAGAGAGCTGTGCATTAAAAGATGTAACCTCTTGGGGCTGATGGCAGTACTATTTAATAAATAAATAAAATAAAAACCCCTACAAGTATAATCTCTACCCCATCATAGTTAGCTCACCTTTCCCCTCCCATACTATCCCAGAAGTAGAAGGGTCTCATTGCTCTTTGTTCTGTTGACAGTGTTATCCAATGGCATGCAAGCAGGAGTAGGAACCTGGAATTTCTAAATTATCATCTCAGCTTTGATCTTGACTCCATCTATAGCCTTGTACAAGTCACTCAACCTTCTCTGCTTCAGTTTTCTTTTCTGTAAAATGGAGATAATACTTTCTGACCTCACAGGGTGTGTGTTGGAGGATTGATTAATATTTACGTGGTGCTCTGAAGGTGTAAAGGGCTATGTAAATGAGAAATGTATACTTATTGCAAAAACTGTGACTTTTAGGTTTTTCAATAAATAGTTCTGGTCTTTGGCATGCCTGTCAGCTTCCTATTGAGCATGCTTCTGCTGTGATTTTTAAAATGGGTTTCTATATAGGCTCATTGGAATTGAATATCGGTTTTAACCTCTTGATTAAATAGCTTTAAACAATTTTATTTAGAAAAATACAGGATATTTGATCTGTATTATAATTTTCTGTGGCAAACAGTCCAAGATTAAAAATACTGTGTTATGACTTTCCTTTTTTGTAACTAATTTTGGGTTTTATTTTTTTTTTGCCTTGAGAACCAAGCAGCCTTAACCATGCTTTTTTATGTGAATGTTTATGCCTGTACAAAGAGTCTAATTCTTCATTCCTTGTATGTTATGTAGACACTTCCATCTCTACAAGGCGAGTACAAAAATGCTACTGCTCTGGTTAGGTAGCATATCAAGATTCAATTTGCAGAGGTGCAACTGACTATATGAACTGCAAGGCAGTAGAGAATCAGGTCCGAAGATTAGGTATAAAATCAGGTCCAAGATTAGGATACATATAATTCTTTCTAGTTAAATATGCATAATAACTTGTATTATATCTTTGCATAGAAACTGTGAGGATGCGTTATCATCTGAAGACTGTGAAACCTTATTCCAGTTTGTTTATACCACGCACAGACCTCTAGCAGTAGCAGCCGGGGAATTCCTTTATAAAAGGTATCTCTGCCTGGCTACTTTTTGCATATTCTCATTGTTTCAGAGTGAAAATGGGTTTGTTTAAGAGGGACATTAAACCTCTATCTTTCAATTGGTGGGTTGTCTCTGGCGGATATCAGATGTCCTTTCTTCTGCTGAATAAGTGGAGGGCTGCTATCTGGGGCTAACTGTTTGTTTCACTTCCCAGCCTCAGTATGTTATACAAGCATGAGAAAGGTACAAGACTATAATAAAGTATAAAACAACTGACTAGTCCACTGGTATTGTATCATGCCAAGGACCATGCCGCCTTCCTTTCTACTTTTTCCCTGTTGCTTTGCTTCCTATGAGCCAGCTGATCACCTGGCATCTGTTGGATTTTTTTGTAGCTGTTTATGATTAATTGCAAAGGTGGCCTCTTCTCCCCTTGAAAGTTGCCTTATACATTGTAAAGTCTTTTGAATAATGAGAGAGCCCACAGATTAAAAAAATTCTCCCAATTTTCAATCAAGTTAATGAAATATACAATCTAACTTCCCAGGAGTAACTTTTGTAAATGGGCCTTTATGACAATGGATGTGGGAAATGAATGGAACTGCCATGCTACAAAGGGAATTAATAAATATTCTGTTTCTACAGCTAGATGAAATTCTGTATTTTGTTTAGCAAAAATTGGTGAAAATACTTTTGGCAAGGCTTTGGAGAGGCAATGTTAAAAAATGACCATGATTATTCATACTTCTTTGTCCCCTTCATCCGTTGCTGTCCATACCCACCCAGCAAAATTATATAAGGCCTAGGATTTGTGGATCCAGGCCCAAAATAAAGAAAAAAGAAAAATCCCTTCTCTGATGTATCCCTCGTCATACCTCCTAGCCCTATACTGCTTTGTTTTGTAGGTTCCCAACTCTCTGGGCTAATGTTGTCATAAATCAGTGATTTATCCCCAGAAAAATGCCACTCTTAGCTATTGGTGGTGCTGTCTTGATAAACTTGGGGCCTGTAGCATCAGCATCTCATTAATATTTCACTGGAATCCAAGCAAATAACTGACTGGGTCAGTGTGAAATGAGCTGCTGATCTTTATACTGTTATCAGTGCACAAGGATCTACATCACATAAACCACCACCACACATGGCACTAGTTGACAACTTTGTTGGCAGGTTTGGCAGAAAAAGAACAGGCTTAAATCTACACTGAGGTTAACCTGCCCTCATGCTACTAGTGGCCTCTCCACTTCAGGTTTGAGGAACATAGGAAGGGAGTGTAGTAAACATTTCAGTGCTGCATCCCATGCTTTACCTGTGTCTGTGGATAGACTTCCTTGACCACTTCTTCTTGGTACTAGCCAAGATGGCTGTCCATCAGTCCAGGAGGAGGAATCTCAATGGGAGAGACATCATAGAATACTCAAGGAGCTGACTGAGGAGATATCTGAGCCATTAATGATTATCTTTGAAAAGTCATGGAAAGCTGGGAGAAATTCCAGAGGACTGGAAAAGGGCAAATGTACTGCCAATCTGTAAAAAGGGAAATAAGGACAACCTGGGGAATTACAGACCAGTCAACTTAACTTCAGTACCCAGAAAGATAATGGAGCAAATAATTAAGCAATCAGTTTGCAGATACCTAGAAGATAATAAGGTGATAAGTAACAGTCAGCATGGATTTGTCAAGAACAAATCAAACAAACCTAATAGCTTTCTTCGACAGGGGTTACTTGAAACTGTGAGGGAAGCAGCAGATGGTATATCTTGATATTAGTAAGGCTTTTGATACTGTCTTGCATGACTTCCTGATAAACTCAGGAAATGCAACCTAGATAGCTACTATAATGTGGGTCAATGACTGGTTAGAAAACTGTTTCCAGAGAGTAGTTATCAGTGATTCACAGTCAAGCTGGAAGGGCATATACAGTGGGGTCCCACAGGGATCAGTTCTGGGTCCAGTTCTATTCAATATCCTCATCAATGATTTAGATCAGTGGTTCTCAACCAGGAGTACATGTACCCCTTGGGGTATTCAAAGGTCTTCCAGGGGGTACATCAACTCATCTAGATATTTGCCTAGTTTTACAATAGGCTACATAAAAAGCACTAGCGAAGTCAGTACAAACTAAAATTTCATACAGACAATGACTTGTTTATACTGACCTATATACTATATACTGAAATGTAAGTACAATATTTATATTTCAACTGATTTATTTTATAATTATATGGTAAAAATAAGAAAGTAAGAAATTTTTCAGTAATAGTGATGTGACACTTTTGTATTTTTATGTCTGATTTTGTAAGCAAGTAATTTTTAAATGAGGTGAAACTTGGGGGGCAGGCAAGACAAATCAGACTCCTGAAAGGGGTACAGCAGTCTGGAAAGGTTGAGAGCCACTGATTTAAATAGTGACATAGAGGGTACATTTATAAAGTTTGTGGACAATACCAAGTTGGGAGGGGTTGCAAGTGCTTTGGAGGATAGGATTAAAATTTAAAATGATCTGGGCAAACTGGAGAAATGGTCTGAAGTAAACAGGATGAAATTCAATAAGGACAAATACAAAGTACTCCACTTAGGAAGGTACAATCGGTTGCACATATACAAAATGGGAAATGACTGCCAAGGATGGAGTACTGCGGAAAGGAATCTGGAGATCATAGTGGATCACAAGCTAAACATGAATCACAGTGTAGCACTGTTGCAAAAAAAGCAAACATCATTCTGGGATGCATTAGCAGGAGTGTTATAAGCAAGACACAAGAAGTAATTCTTCTGCTCTACTCCACGCTGATTAGGCCTTAACTGGAGTATTGTGTCCAGTTCTGGGTTCCACATTCAGAAGAGATGTGGACAAATTGGAGAAAGTCCAGAGAAGAGCAACAAAAATGGTTTAGAAAACACGACCTATGATGGGAGATTGAAAAAATTGGGTTTATTTCATCTGGAGAAGAGAAGACTGAGAGGGGACATGATAGTTTTCAAGTACATAAAGGATTATTATAAGAAGGTGGGAGAAAAATTGATCTCCTTGTCTTCTGAGGATAGGACAAGAAGCAATGGGCTTGAATTGCAGCAAGGGTGGTTTAGGTTGGACATTAGGAAAAACTTCCTGTCAGGGTAGGTAAGTACTGGAATAAATTGCCTAGGGAGGTTGTGGAATATCCATCATTGGAGATTTTTAAGAGCAGGTTAGATAGACAACTCTCAGGGATGGTCTAGACAATACTTAGCCCTGCCATGAGTGCAGGGGACTAGACTAGATGACCTTGCGAAGTCGCTTCCAATCCTGCGATTCTATGATTCTTTGTTAGTTGGGGACCTTTTTCCATTCCCTTGTCCATGCACACATCGGGGCAGAGTTTATCTGAGTGGTTCTCCTGTCTCTTTAGACAGGAGAGCCACTGTTTGGTTCATTGTGCACTGTTTGGGATTCTCTGCTTGGTGTCTCCTTTTGGTTTCCTTATTTTGACCCTATAACCCTCCCGTTCTTATTTGTCATTTTTTGTCCCCAGTGCTTATGTCAGGTCTGCACTAGAAAGTTATCGGTGTAGTGGTGTTGGTTGGTGGTGTGATGAATTTTCATTATTTTTGTGGGCTTGCGGGGGCAACATTTTTATACTGGCAAAGGTCCTTTTGCAGATTCAGTCTCACTTGCAAAAAAGTGCTTTTGCTGGTATAAGCTGTTTCTGTGCTCTGCTGGTATAGTTATGCTGGCAAACATTTCCTAGTGTAGAATCGGCCTTAATTAAATCCTAGTCCTATGGCTCCTCCTTCAGCTGAGGGTCACCCATTCATTATTTCCATTGGATAGCTACCTTTAAATAGGATTTAAATAGGCTAGTCCCTTTCATGAGCAATAAGTTCACACTAAAATTTTTTTTGGAGTGGAGGGAGAAAGTGGAAATTGCAAAGAAATATCATGATATGCCTTGTACATCAGGCAATGGAGGGAGAGCACTTCTTCCAATGTATGTTCCAAGTTGTATAAAACACGTATCGCAAGAGCATGATCCTATGCTTTCGCCAACATCATGTCTGTCTTATGAGAAGTTTGACCGGGTGCTGGCTACTGCACCCAGTTCAGATCCAACTGTAGTGCACAGTAACCTGGTCAGGTGCGATGGTGCCCAGCTGGCCCCAAAATCCAGCCTGAGGACTGAGGGAGCCACCAGTAGGCACTGAGTGAGGATGATGAAATCACTATGTTGCTGAAACTGGTCCAGGAGCGGGCTTTGGATCAGCAGAAAATTCTGGGTCCATGCTCAGAGGAGCTGTTTGATGTACCTCTCCAAGGAACAGCCCACTGCCGAGCCTGCAGCAGACACGGAAGGGGCATAAGTCGCCCGAGCCAGGTAAGTTTTGGATCATGTTCCTGTGACTATGTTTTCTGCTCTGTAATCACTCAATGGTCTATGGAGCCGTCTACTGTGAACTCCGTGTATGTGATTGGGGAAATCTGTTCATTTCCAAATCTAGTCCATTTCAGTTAGAGGCAACTCATGCGAGTTAATAGGTGACAAAAGCATTTCTCCCAAGAACGACTAGAGTTAGAATTTTTATCCAAAAATGTGCCGGGGGCAGGGAAGAAGCTGGTTGTGGAGTTCTGCATCTTTGCATGCAGCCGTAACACAGCGCAAGCATGTGAAAACTAATGCAGTATCCTGTTGATTCTCTCATGAATTCTGACTCAATCCCGGGTGTGGATAGTTGCAGATGTTTCCTGAAGCAGGAGCTCCACGTAGGTAGTCACATTTTGGGGAAGAACGTATTTTCCAGGGCTCAGTAGCTGACTAGCCCACTCCATCAATAGATGTGTGTTCAGTCACTGTACGATTGAATACTATGGCTGAATACACTGCAGGTTTCCCACCAGCAGCTTGGGTTATGTCCTCCAAAGTGTGGAAAGCCTGAAATGGTAGAAAAAGCTTTTGTAGCAAGGCCACTGACCAACTCTTCCCCTCATGCCAAACCCAAGCAGTTATGCAATTTTGGTAAAACAAAAACAGCTGGAATTTTTCATTTATCATTGTCTCTGCACTACTTTAGCTGGGATTAACCAGGCTTTGTCCAGGGAGATTCTGTGGACTGAGGCATCACTCTCACAATATGTTGCAGTTCATTTTTTAAATGTAACATTTTATGTCCTTGAAATTCCACAAGAATTATTTCTGCACTCCTCCACTGAGCTATGTGAGACAGTAACCCTCTGTTTCTTGGCCTGTTGCAGGCCCCTCGACCTCTGCCGGCTGCTGTACCTCCACAGCTCAACCTTATTGCAGGAAGCGTGGCCCAGCGTACCTTCGCAGAAGTGGTTCTGTGAAGAAGTCATGGTTGAAGTTCTTGAGAGGACCAACAAACAAGTCCGGTACCAGAAGCAGAGGGAAGTAAGACTGGAGAAGAGGCATACTGAGAGGCAGGAGGAAAGGCTGAGGCTGGCCACACAGCTTGAGGACAGGGTTTCAGCATAGGAGCAGGTGCTTGTTATGCAGTTCCTGGAACAGGAATGGTGGCTAAGGGAGGAGGAGGAGGACAGAGCTCAGCAGAAAACTCTTTGATCGGCTCATCTCAATCATGGTTGCAAGATTACCAGCTCCTGCGGCCTCTCCCGCACCATGACCTGCAACATACCTTCAGGCCAGAAACAGTTTGGAAAACTCCATGTTGGGGTGGTCAAGGCAATTGTGCCCCAGGAACAGCTGGGCAAGGCAACTAAACCCCATGCAGTCCTCCGTGTTTACCCCACTCTCCTGTGGTTACCTCCATCTCCCTCCCCTGGCACCAAGTGTACAGAAAATGGGGAAAGTAGGGAAAGGAGAATTGGGGGGCCAGGTGACATGCAGCAGTAGGGGTTTTTGTCATGGTTGCGCTTCTTGCTACACTCTGTTTTTGTTTTTGTTTTTGTTTTGGAAAAGTTCTTTTGTAACTGGTGATTGGGTGTTGTAATAGCAGCTGGCCTGCCTGGCACTGGGTGATTGTTGTACTGTTTTTAACATGTTTACAAATAAAGCTTTTTATATCATCAAGAAAGTTTATTGTGGTCACTGCATCTCTTCATACAATCAGTTTTTGAAATAATAAAACTAAACACATGATCAGGAACAGTTAGGAAATAGTAAGCAAATGCTATTCCTCTATACAGTTAGGTACAGCAATCCATACTTCAGTCATTTCCTTATGTGAATCCATGCTGTGAATCATCCCCCCATTTCATAAATCATGTTATTCATAAGTACATTGCAGGGCAGTCAAGCCCTCACTCCTCCCCAACTGCTGAACACTCTCCCACACCCCAAATCAGTGAGCCCCATCCCCACCCACCTCCCCCCAACCACATTCATAGAGGTACTGATTGCCTCAGAAACCTCTACCACCACTTTACCCATGGTCGACTTTCCAACACCAATCTGACTGGCAATGGACCTGAGCAGTCTGGGATACCCCGCTTACAGATGGGTATAGCAGCCCACTTCTAGGTCTGCATGGGTGCCCTCAGATGAGTGTCTTTATGCTGGAAGGTCAGGGCAAGCTGCTCACAAAGCTCCAGGAATGTGCCTTTCTTCATATGAAACTTGTGGACCCACTGCTGGTCATCCCAGGTCTGCATGATGATGTGATCCCCCAGTCTGTTCTTGTGGCCTTGCACCAGAAGTGCTGGTCTACACAGGGGGCCTCAGCGGCTATTCTGAGTGTACTGAGCAGCATCAGCCACTGTGAGTCTTCCATGTCTGGATACTCCTCCTCCTCTGCCGTCTTCTGCTCCATCTTAAGCTCTGTGAGGTTCCTTTGATGGGTTAAAAAATGCCACCGAAATGTCCACCAGCGCCTCGGGGAAGCTGTGCCTGTTTTCTGACACAGGAGTGAAAGCGCAAGCAAAAGAACCCATTGAAAAAGGGTCTCCTGCGTGTTGCTTTGCAGGCTGTGCTAGGGAATCTGTGATATGATTGGTTTGACTTGGGTCTGCATGCTGCAGTGTGGATGCCAGAGCCCCGGGTTTGAGCAAGGGCTAGAAAATTTGTAACGTAGGGTTAAGAACCAGTGTGGATGCTCAAGCCCTGAGTTTTCTAACACAGGTCAGTTGACTCGAGTCCCACTAACTCTGGCCTTACATTACAGTGTAGACATACCCTAAGAGCCTGGTTTGGTTTTCGAAGACTAGATGTACCATATTATGAAGTGTTGCTGGGCAGTAAGATTTTTATAGGAAGGATATTTCTCTTTTATGATTTTCTCTAAATTACAGTGGTCACCTTTACAGGATAAATAAATGCCTAACACTTGGTGTACTCATTGCCACGGAATCTATATATGTTGCCCAGACAACTGGCAAGGCCCCAGTATCAGCTGCTGCAGGTAGTCCCTGCTTTCACAGAGCGAACTTGTAGCTAAAAATAATCTAGTGTCTCCCCTTCCAGCTGACAGTAGAATTTGATGTTTGCTGAATGGATGAATAGATTTTAAAAGAAAGAAGTAAAGCTGATTGAAATCCTGACAGAATCTGTGCTGCTTTGCTGAGTAATCTAAAGGTGCACAGCAGAATTGGACTGACTTCTTTTTTCCATTGGCAGGCTGCTTAGTTATCAGGGAACTGAAGAGGAAGTCCCACCTAAAAGAAGAGGGAAGTTTCGGGCTAATACCTGCTACATGAGAAAATTAATAACTTTTTTCTTGGAGAGTGAGGTAAGGAAAATGTAGATTGTGATAGACAGATGAGGGAGGAGCCCTTCCAAACCAGGGCAGCTGGCTGAGAATTGGTACTGAGGTGCTGCTGGAAGTTGGAGGGAGAAGTGAGGTGAGTGGGGAGGAGACTTCCTTTTGAAAGGTCTTTTTGGTTGCATGCTCAGAACTGTTGATCTTGGAACTCGATACTTTCTCAACTCTAGGATGAGCTTCAGTAAAGTAAAACTGTACATGTGCGTTCGGTTGTACTACGCCTCTTATTCTACAGTTGTATCAATGCAGAGAGGTAGTGTGGGACTGGCTTTCTGAAAAAACTAGGACTGCTCAGCCAGGGATAGCAACTAAAATGTAACTCATTTCAAGCTCCTGAATGGGAGTGGGCATTTTAGGTGTTACCAACAGCAGTCAAATAGTGATATTCAGGACAGCTTTGGGGAGACTAGTCTTTTTAGGAAATCTTTTTTCTGTCCTTTAAGTAACTCTTTTTCTCTTATGCTGTTGCCCATGTATCAAACTGAAGAATTATTATTTAGTTTGGATCTAGTAAAAAAATACACACATTGAAAAAAATACGGTTTTACAATGAGAGAAAGGGGGGGAAAATATGTAATAAGCTGTATTCACATTTCAGTAAACATTTGATCCTCTAGGCTTATGTTTTTAATCTCTAGCTACATAAACACGTCACGTACCTTGTAGACAGCCTGTGGGATTGGACAGGCAGTTTGCTGAAGGACTGGGAGTGTATGACCACTCTCTTATTGGAAGCTGCTGAAGAAGAAGGTAGGTGAGCTAAAACCTTAGTGTTACCCAAATTGATCTTGTTTTATTTACTAGAAGAAACTTCCTTCACCTTGAACTATAGCGGGGTCACTTGAAGAGCCTCTTGGTTGCATAGAGCCACAAAACAGTTTTGACTCTGTGTCCTGCCATGGCTCAGTGCCCTCAAATATTGATGCAGTATTCCTACGAAAACCTTGTGAAACACTATCCAACACTTAAGCCCTGAATATTTATGCCTCTCAGTGACTCCTCCCTCCTATCTTCTTTCTCCCTCCTTCCTTGCTGCCTGCTGGGGGGCAGAGGGTGAAGAATGTTTCTTCTCTCTCTCGGCTACTTAGAGGCTGAAGAAGGGATTCCAAGGGTCGCAGTGTGTTTGTTCCGTACTATTTCCGCCTCAGTAGTCAGGTGTGAACCTTGTGAAGGTTCAGGCAGCTTTGGGAGCACTGTGGTGAATGGCTCTCTACTTGTTGGAAGAGAGAATCTCCAGTCTGATCCCTGGATTGCAGAAGAGGCACATATAGGGCCCTGTGAAGCTATATGTGGTTCTAGAGTCACATTGAGCTAAAAGTTCATGAGAAGATGAGCCTCAGGTCTGGTGGAAGAGAATGAAATTTCATTGGAGTTAGGTCTGAATTTGGCCTGTTCTTTTCTGGGGAAAGTCATTTCTGCGACACTGAACCCGTTGCTTTATTTGGCAAATGCAGTGGGATCCACTTATAATAAACATAGTAAAATGTATTTTATTCTAAAGTAAATTAAAAATTCCAAATAGTTTCTGTGAATCACAATGTATGTATTGTAGCTGTGGTTGTAGTGAATCACACAGAATAACTTCACTATAAGGTGAGAAGAAAAAAGACTTCGCTACATGAAGGTTCCTTTGTATTCAGAAATCTTAATTTACCTTTTACATTTCAAGGGCCATATTTGTTTTCATGGCTGAGTTAAGGAACCTAAATGCACCTATCTCATTGAAACAGAGTAGTGTGGAGCTGATGTTCACCACTGTAAAGGAAGAGGCTGAGTTGAATTTAATGCCATTTTCAGAAATCAGATATTTTAGAGGGTTTAGTTTTATGTAGAAAACGCCTTGAACACTGTTTATTGTGGCAGAATAAACTAGAGGTAGTTCTTTGCTGTGGGATCAAAGCATATAGGTCTAGATTTTTAAAGATATTTTTAGGTACCTAACTCCCAAAGGTGCCATAGAAGAAATAGAGCCATCCAACTTTTTTGCTTTTTTCACTGTGTGTAACAGAGAATAATTCAGTTCACAGTCAGGTTGGACTTAGCAAATTTTCCGCAGTTTTTTAGCAGTATCTCTCTCTCTCCCCCTCTCAAAGTTGTTTTGAGAAATGAGTAGACTTTCCTCATTAGCCATTCCTGCATCTTCACTTTTCTTTTGTGAGACACTGAAGAAACGATGATTTTCTTACAGCACTGAGTGATGCCCAGGAAAGTGCCCTCATTGAAATAATCTTAGCGACCGTTCGAGAAGCTGCTGAAGGTCACCCTCCTGTGGGCAGAGGAGCAGCCAAGAAGGTCAGTGGGTTTTATTCTAATATATTTATTATGTTGCAATCAAATTTGTCCTCCCTACGTGCTCTGCCAAAAGCCCTTTCCTAGCCACAGGTACATCAGCAGAAAGAGAGCAGCATTGTTTTTACAAGACAAGCTCAATGCCTTCTGACCATCAGACAAAACATCTTATCGGTGGATATTGAATGAGATGAGCTTTAGAGGAAGCTCAGCACCGTGGAAGCATGTTAATGACACACACTGACCATTTTATCTATCAGTAGATGTCGTTATAAAGCACCCTGCATCCAAACAGCACTCTAGTTGTTCAACACTCGCTCAAGAATTTTATTAAAAAAAAGGGGGGGGGAGAAATCCCATGGGGGGAAAAAATCTTTGCCTCAGCCAGGTGGTTTATGTTAGTTAAAGGTATATTAATATGCAAAGTTAACCTTGGGATAGGTGTAAAATTCCAATCAACTCCAAGAGTATTTTATAATTGAAGCAGAATGCTTTTGTCTGTAGATCCTGTCAGCGAAAGAGAAGAAAATACAATTGGAAGATTGTACCAAAATTACTGAGCACTTTATTGTGGTGCTTCCTCAGCTCTTGGCAAAGGTAACTAGCAGCTGTTCCATGAGCGCATGTTAAATATTTCATTAAAATTCCTGCAGCACACTCATATCCTGTTTTCCTCTGCAGTATTCAGCAGATGCTGAAAAAGTGGCGAACCTCCTGCAAATTCCCCAGTATTATGATTTAGATGTTTACAGTACTGGACGTCTGGAGAAGGTGAATAGGAATTGGGGCAGTTGGGTGTGCGTGAAATATAACAAATTTATGAGACAATTTACAGGGAGTAGTGAGACCTTGTTACAGCCAGGAGACTGTTGGGACATGAAGAAATAATTATACCCTGTTGAAACCCTTCATATTTGAACTGAGGCCACCAGGGAAATGCTTTAACATTTGTCTGTATGGATTTAGCAAGGTTGGCCTAAGGCCCTGGTAGATAATGATTTATGGCTTCGTGCAGGAGGCCCAGCTTTGGGAATGAACTAATTCTTCTTGCTTCTTGACCTCTTGTTGGGTGGAAAGGAGGGGGAGTTACAGCATGTATCCAAGTTGGCATCTCCCAGCAGCTTACTGCAGAACGAGGTTGCATTCTCATTGGAGACTGTCTCCCTTATCAGCTGCTGAGGGAGGGTAGTAACTGTAAAGAGAAGAATGGGGATAGTATATCTGTATGTGGAAGAGGGGAATTCAGGAATGGAAGGATGAAATCCTTGAAATAGCAAAGCCCATACGTAAGTGGAGTGGATTGCTCAAATTAACCCCCTGTAAATATCCATAACAAGGCAAGGGAAAAATCACATCCATGTACTTCCACCACAAAAAATTAGCTGGGGGGGGGCCATAAAGCAGTAGCAGTATGGCAGAAATGTTTGTATAACAAACAATACTGTCAGTGACCCACTCATGGGAATAAGCCTACCACAGAATGATGGGAGCTCTGAAACATGCTTCATCTTTGTTACTGCAACAGGCAGCCTTGTGTCCAGAGGGCCCTTTCTTTGTCCTTTTCCCCCTCAGTCTCTTCTACTATTATTATTTAGAGTCATGTGTATTGCTAGACTTGGGGCTGAAATAAATAATGAAGGTTTTAGGAAGATGTTAAGCTATACAAGTATACGTACAAAATGATGGGGTCTAAATTAGCCGTCACCACTCAAGAAAGAGATCTTGGAGTCATTGTGGATAGTTCTTTGAAAACATCTGCTCAGTGTGCAGCCAAAGTCAACAAAGCTAATGGAATGTTAGGGGAATGAAAGGGATAGAAAATAAGACAGAAAATACCATAATTACACTATATAGATCCAGGACACACTCATATCTTTAATACTGTATGCAGTTCTGGTCACCCCATCTCAAAAGAAACGTATTAGAATTGGAAAAAGTATAGAGAAAAGCAACAAAAATGATTAGGGGTATAGAACAGCTTCCATATGAGGAGAGATTAACAAGACTGGGACTGTCTAGCTTAGAAAAGATATGACATGGGGGAGGTGGGATATAATAATGGTCTATAAAATCTTGACTGGTGTGGAGAAAATGAATATGGAGTGTTGTTTACACCTTCACATAACACAAGCATCGGGAGTTACTTCATGAAACTACTAGGCCGCAGGTTTAAAACAAACATAAGGAATGCTTCTTCGTACAATACAGTCACCCCGTGGAACTTGTGGCCAGGGGATGTTGTGAAGGCCAAATGTATAATTAGGTTAAAAAAAAAAGCCTTAGATAAGGTCAGGAAGGAATAGTCAATTGTTCGCTGTTAGCCAAGATGGTCAGGGACGCAACCCCATGCTCTGGGTGTCCCTAAACCTCTGATGGCCAGAAGCTGGACTGGATGACGGGATGGATTGCTGAATAATTGCTCTGTTCTTTTCATTCCCTCTGAAGCATCTGGCACTGGCCCCTGTTGGAAGACAGGACATTGGGCTAGATGGACCATTGGTCTGACTAAGGGCTTGTTGGACCCTTGCATTTTACAGTGCTCTAACTTGCTGGCTCAGGGGTGTGAAAAATCACCCCCTGAGCGCAGCAAATCTGAGTGCTTTAAAGCGCTAGTGTAGACAGGCTCCTAGCACTTGGAGTTAATCCCCTCGTGGAGGTGGATTACCAGAAGAGCTGGGAGACCTCTCTCCCAGCACTCGTGCGACCACACTCGCACTTCAAAGCGCTGCCGCGGGAGTGCAGCCATGCCCTCAGTGTAACCATTCTTATGTGACAGGTCTGTTATGAGAACTCCAGCAACAAACAAAATCTTGTCCTGTAATCCCTGCCTGTCCTCCCCAAACGGGCATTTATTTTGTTTTCAGTTGTGTAAAGTAAAAAGGAATAAACATAAATAGGCATAACTTTGACTTGACTGTATCATCATGATAACTTGCAGCACTTGGATGCTTTGCTGAGAGTGGTGAAAGATATTGTAGCTGAACACTCTGACATGGATGTCCTCGAGGCTTGCTCCAGGACGTATTATGTCTTCTGCAATGAAGAACTGGCCATCCACAGGAGGGCGGATCTTGCCAGAACTCAGCTGATAGACGAGTTGGTGGACAAACTTAATGAGCTGCTGGCTGACTCTTGGCACGAGGTGCGTGTGACTGGAAGTAGAAATACATGAAACATTTCAGGATCAAAATGAAATAAATACAAGGGAGAGATGTTAAGACTGGTAATATACTGGTTTTTCTTTGCTTGGGGAGAGCAAAGCTTACAGAGGTAGTCTGAATACTCTGAAAGGGCTGTCTGTTTACATTTTAAAGGAGTGAAAATTGTATTCAGGCAGGAAGAAGGGGAAGAGAAGGGATGGTGTAGTTTATGGCACTAGGGAATGGGATTTCTGGGCATGCACTATCATGTGGATTCTTATGGCCAGAGCACCAATGGATATTCTAGCACTGAGCTGCAGAGGGCTAATGTTGCTATTTGAAAATGCCCGTCTAAGCACAAATGATCTGTTAGATATAGAGTATTTTAGAGGAGGTATAATTCTACATTTGTACATATTGGCAGTAATCAAAAAGCTCTTTATAACTTTGCTGCTGTTTGAAGAGGTTTTTTTTAAAGATAATTCTGTAGGTACTATTAGGTCACATTAAAGTAGCTTTTGTGACTTGAAAGTAGCTTTTGCTTTTTGGAAGGAGGACTGCTGAATCTCTCTCCAAGTTTTTCAGTAGTTCTCAAAAGCAGAAACAGCCGGTGGAGATATGAATAGCTTGCTGGCTGATTTCAACAACAGGAGCCTGTAGCTGATGAACTGTGCCATCGCTAACAGGTGTCATGCCATAGTATGGGAGTTCAGACAAGTGGATTTTTATTGGGTGCTGGGATACTGTAAATGTGTCAGGCCAAAAAAATCACATTGGATTTATTTTGGTAGTTTAAATAGACATCTATTCCAACGCGTGAGTATTTTTTTAATTAGAAATAAGCTTATAAGAGGTCAACTGGGATTCTTGAACACTTGTGTAGTGTGGACCACAGCTAAATAAAGAGGTTGTCTCATGGAACCCTTCTCTTGTAATTCTTGATTGGAAGGAGTACCTCCTTTGCCATTTGCCATTCTGTTGTATCCTTGTGGAAACTACAGCAATTGCTTATATGGGAAAGTAATATTAGGAAAGTATTTAATGTATTTTTAGCTGTCTTTGTGACTTGGCAGCTGAAAACAAGGAGAGCCAGCACCATGTGAGCAGCTAGCTCTCTGCAGACCACTAGCAGGTGCTTGATGGGTCAACAGTGACCACACACCACAATGTGAGAACGTCTGCAGTAGACTGCTTTGTAGTTTTAATTACCAAGACACTAGTGGCAGCTGTGGGGTGTTCAGTTATGAGGATGTTATAATGCGAGAGTAGCAGCATGGCATTTCCCAGACATATAACTTTGTCCCAGCCCGTGTACATTATTCTTTATCTTAGAGAGGGGTCTAGGGAACATAGTGGAAGGGCAAATGATTCCTGAAACTGAGACGAAGTCTAATTCAAGCCCGTGGTTAGTAGAGGAGCTAGCAGCTGGCCCACAACACCTCTGTTCATTCTGTTCTCTTTCCTAACTCATGTGATTTAGGGAGAAGGTCTTTGCACAGATGAAGAAGGAATTTGCCGAATATATACCACTTTGAGAAGAATAACAGCTTTTCATAAGTGAGATGTTTGTTTACATGATTACTGCCTTCCTCTCCTATACTGTTAGCACACTGTAACCTCACCGAGCTGCTATAAAAGCAGGAATTGCTGTTGGTTGGCTGGCTAATCAAGCTTACATAAAAGAATCAAAATAGTCACGAAGTGTGATGTTTGTGCATAGAATGGTCAGGTGGAATTCCTTTTATCACAAGTACTTTTTCCTGTCAGTTTCTAGACTCTCCTAAATGTTGGCAGGCTCTCTGAGCAGAGAATTCTTTTTGAATTTACTAGCAAGGCTTGAGTGGCAGTGATTAAGTCAATCAGAGGTCTGTAAGTGGGCTGCTTATGGGATTGGGATGTCACTGTCTGCCTGTAGGCCCTTTCCTTTGGGCTTTTTCTGTATCCTCCCTCTTAGCTGGATACCATTTGAGCCACCTTAGTGTCGAGACTGGCATTCAGCGTGGAGGGTAAGAGCACTATGTTTGATAGCAGGCACAATATGTTAACTCTAATTTGTCTGGTCTCCAACTCTAAAAGAGCAAGTCTCTGAAGCCCTGCTCTCATGTAGTGCAGAGTGCTCTTGCTTGCTCACTAGTGGCCCAATTCTGCACCCCTTACTCACCTTGAGTAGGGTCTTACCAATGACTTTATTGAGACTCCTCACCAAGTGAGTGTGGCAGAATTGGGCCATGGGTTAGGAGTAGCTTTCCCTTCATCTTGCATTGCTGAGATTCCCTGTTGCTCCAAATACTATTTCAGGCATGAAGCCTGAGATCTCTTTTGGGAAGTACAGTAGAACCTCAGACTTACGAACACCTTGGGAATGGAGGTTGTTCATAACTCTGAAATGTTCGTAACTCTGAACAAAACGTTATGGTGGTTCTTTCACAAGTTTACAACTGAACATTGATTTAATACAGCTTTGAAACTTTGCTATGCAGAAGAAGAATGCTGCTTTCCCTTTATTTTTTTAGTAGTTTATGTTTAACACAGAACTGTACTGTATTTGCGTTTTGGTTTTTGTCTCTGCTGCTGCCCGATTGTGTACTTCCAGTTCCAAATGAGGTGTGTGGTTGACTGGTCAGTTCGTAACTCTGAGCTTCTACTGGATGAGTGTTTGGAGAGAGCATTCCTGGTTTGTGTAGGAAAAGTGTAGAAATTCAGTTTCCTTCTGCATATTCCCATTCCTTTGGCTCACACAAGTTGCATTTTTTGTAGCAGGAACAAGACTCAGTGATAACTACTGAAACAATAGGCTAAAGGCTATAATTAATATTAGGCCATACTAAACTGTATTTCCCTTTTCCTATCTATACTGGAAGATTTCAGGCATCTCTTCCTGGCAGGTTTCATTGTAGAGGAAACAAATCATGACCAGCTTTAACATTTGTCGTCAAACTGTAGGAAGATCCTTGTGCTTTACCTGCCAACATAGAGTCGGTATAGATGGAGGTAGTTTATTTCCAATTAATCCTGTGGATCATAGAGCACAAACGGATCCAGCACATGCAAAACTGGTTTAAATTTTGTGTGCAGTGTCTGTCAGTTAGTTTTCACTGAAAGTCCTTGTTATCCATTAGGTGCTGGCAAAAAGAGGATACATTTTACTTTTTATACTTGTGGTGAGATTTTTCTTACTTCCCTTAATAAATTTAGGTATCACTGTGAAGGTAATCAGCTCTCTTCACCAAATAAAAGCATAATCTCTTTGGTAGCTGTGATTATTTAGGAACAGGTTGCATGTAGGGAGAAATGGGATTGTTAAAAACAGTAGCTTTTATCTCAGGGGCGGGCAAACTTTTTGGCCCAAGGGCCACATCGGGTTTCCGAAATTGCATGGAGGACCAATTCCTGCCCAGACAGCCAGGCGAGGCCTGGCCCCTACCCCCTACCCAACCCCCCCTGCTTCTCGCCCCCTGACAGCCCCCCTGGGACCCCTGCCCCGTCCACCCTTCCCTGTCCCCTGACCGCCCCCAGACCCTCTGCCCCTGACTTCCCCCTGCCGCCCCATCCAACCCCTCCTCTCATTCCTGACTGTCCCCTGGGACTCCTGCCCCATCCAACCACTCCTTCTCTGTGACCAACCCCGGAATCCCTGCCCCTGACTGCCCCCTGCCACCCCATCCAACCCCCCCTCCTTCCTGACTGCCCCCATTCAACCCCCCTGTTCCCTGCCCTCTAACTGTCCCAACCCCTATCACAGCCCTGCCCCCCGACCACGACCCCAAACTCCCCTACCCCCTATCCAATCCCTGCTCCGCTCCCTGCCCCCTTACCGGGCTGCCTGAAGCACCAGTGGCTGGCAGTGCTACAGCTGCGCCGCCCAGAGCACCAGGACAGGCAGCCGCGCCGCCCAGCTGGAGCCAGCCACGCCACCGTGCAGCACAGAGCACCGGGTCGGGCTGTGGCTCTGCAGCTGTGCTGCTCGGCAAGAGCTCGCAGCCCCACTGCCCAGAGCATTGCACCGGAGGCGTGGCGAGCTGAAGCTGTGCGGGAGGGAGAACAGCAGTGAAGGGGCCGGGGGCTAGCCTCCTGGGCCAGGAGCTCAGGGGCCGGGCAGGACGGTCCCGCAAGCCAGATATGGTCCGCGGGCCATAGTTTGCCCACCTCTGTTTTATCTCTTCTCTTTATGATTATTTTAGTGTGGTATTTCATTTCCTTTTTGACTGGCAGTGCTCACAATCTCACCAAATGGAATCTCTATGGGAAGACTTCAAAGCTGCTGGTTTTTGAGATGGAGTATGGGAGTTTACCTGTTCAGGTAAATTGATGGTACTGAGCACTAATAAAGCATTTAGCCTATCAAAGTACTTTACAAACATTAACTGAACTTCACACTAGAGCCCTGCATGGGACTATTTTTTAATCCTGTTCCTGTCCCACCCCACAATACCCACTTTTGCCGACTCCCACATTTTTATCCTGCTCCCTCCATCAAAAGCCTTAGATCCCACAAATCCTGCAAGAGAGAGAGACTCCTCCATGCTACTAAAATAAACCCCCAACAGCAACACAAAAGAAAATGGTCGGTTAATATATTGTGTATATATAAACAGAATTCAGACACAATTTTTACCACTAAAAGTATAAAACAAATCTTGCTTAAACCATGTAAAAACAATACTTTAACTCCTGTTATAATAGACACCAAATCTCTTTCTATCCCTCGCTTAAATTTAAGTATTGAAACCTTTCCTTAAAAAAAAAAAAAAGAAAGAAAAACTTGCTTTACATTGCTGAAATTCCATATATAACAAACTGACAAGAGATTTAGTGCTTTCCCACAAATTACTGCAGTCTGTTTTTTTCCCCACCCAATCCCACCCACAACAAAATACATTTTACCCGCTCCTGCTTTTATGGCAGCAGATCCTGTGGGACCCACGGGATCCCAGTCCCGCTTCAGGGCTCTACCTTACACAGTATCCTGTGAGGGAGATGGATGTTATTATTCCCATTCCACAGCTTGGGAAACTAAGACACAGAGAGCCATCGTCATCTCTGGTATAACCCTGTTGAAGACCGTGGAATTAGGACATGGATTAATTTAATGCAAAGATTGTCCAATGCTGTGCTGGGGGTGTTATTGTCCGAATCTGGATTAGTTGTTTGCTTAGAATCAGAGACAGGGCTTCTCTTTCTCAATTGTGCAATGTCGCTCTAAACAAAGTACAGATAATTCAGGGATTTGCTTGTCACTCGCAGATTAAATTTCGTCAGAATTGAAAATATTTCAGACCCATTACTTGCAAAATGAACTATAGTGAAGCCAATTTGCTTATTAACTATTGTTAAGGTTGCGAGTTTGTCAGGGAGGTCATGGATTCCGTGACTTTCCAGGATCTCTGTGACTTCTGCAGCGGCTGGTGCGGCTGGTCCAGGGGCCGCCTGAGCAGCTGGGGCAGCCCCTTGGCCAGCCACACCGGCCGCTGCTGGGGCAGTCCTGGCCTACCGCGCCCTCCACCCCAGCAGCAACAGGAGTTTGGGTGTGAGAGGGGGCTCAGGGCTGGGGATTGGGGCATGGGAGAGGGTGAGGGCTCTGGGCGGTGCTTACCTCGGGGGGCTCCCCAGAAGCAGCAACGTCCCTCCTTGGCGGAAGCACAGCCAGGGGGCTCTGCGTGCTGCCGCTGCCTGCAGGCACCGCCCCTGAAGCTACCATTGGCTGCAGTTCCCAGTCAATGGGAGCTGCGGAGCCAGTGCTCAGGGCGGAGGCAGCGTGCAGAGCTGCCTGGCCATGTCTCCGCCTAGGAGCAGAGGGAGGGGGATGTTTCTGCTTCCGGGGAGGCGCGGAGCCAAGGAGGGAGTCTGCCAGCCCTGCCAACCTGTCCCCCGTCCCAGCACCAGTGGGGGTCCTGAGCTGCGCCCCCCAGTACCCGCGGGGGTCTTGGGCTACCCCCCCCAGCACTCGTGGGGGATCCTGGGCCACCCCCTGGGCTCCCACCCTCCCCCCAAGATTTAGTCAGGGTATATAATACAAGTCATGGACAGGTCACAGGCCATGAATTTTTGTCTACTGCCTGTGACCTCTCCATGACTTTTACTAAAAATACCCGTGACTAAAATGTAGCCTTAACTATTGTCTAAACTACAAACCTCAAATTGTCTGTTCAGCTTTAACGCTAATTCTGATAGTCTCCACTGGCCATGATTACCTAGTGCAAGTTTAGCAAAGCACTTAAGCATGTGCTTAGTCTGCATTGAAGTCCATGAGCCTTAATGCTTTACTGAATCAGGAACTTAATCCAGAGACAAAGGTTCTGAGGAAGTCATGCTTAGTTGCATGTAAACCTACTGAATCTGCTTTTGGGATCTAAATGTCTCATGCTGCAGAAATACTTGTACAAGCAGCATACAGAATATGAGATGGTTTCAGAGTAACAGCCGTGTTAGTCTGTATTCGCAAAAAGAAAAGGAGTACTTGTGGGTATGAGATGTTGATTCTTTGCTTTCACTACAAAGCCTTTCACATTATTAAAAGATATGTACTTTTATTTGCAGATGATCCTACCAGCTCTACAGTGCACATACTTTGCTCTCTTATGGCAGCTAGCTTCAGCTGTGGAGAGGTCATCTTCCAAGGTTGGCCAGTGCAAATAATTCTGAAACCAAGTGGTGCACTTGAAAGGTTCACATTCACTTGCTGTCCTTTGATGGCTGGAAGAGACACGCTTTCCCAAAATGATGCTGTGAACATTTTGTTGGAGAAACCAAATTAGGATTAGGCATTTCTCTCTCCTGTGTTTTAATATTGGAAAAGTGGAGACATTCTAAAATCTCTGTAAGGGCATAATTAAATTAAACAAGTGCTTATCTGTGTTCAGTGCAAAGTTTTGTGCTTCTGAATCCTGGCATATGGTGGAAACAAGGATTGTTTCCTGAACAAAAAACAGTGAAAATACAATATTCAAAGAAAACCCTTGGAATTCAGTCTTTACATACCGCATATTTGTTTGTGTTTAGTGCACTATGGTATGCATGAAGAATGCCCAGGGAAAGTGTTAGGCAATCTCACCGTCAGTTTTCTGTTACAATTATTATTTGTGAATTGATACTACGCAGCATCAAAAACATACTAAGCACTTCAATGGGGTATTTTAGTTTTAAATTACAAAAATGAGAACTCGCCTACGTTTTGATCCATGAGCAAATAAAAACAACGGTGTAGTTTCTCTAGAGATTTCTGGCTGCACTGAGTATTGCTGCTTTCTTCCATCTGTTCTCTTCCTCTTTTGTATCCCTGTATACAGAAGATACTGACATGGAACTGGCATCTTTTGTTTTTTGATGTTTCGGAAGTGATAGAAGGGTGCTGACCATTTAGGGACTGATTCAATAGATATACATGGTTTGGTGCTCCACTCCTGTCCTTGGCTACCTAGGTGTCAATGCCCATCATTTCTCTAATCTTTGTTTTTTCTTCCATAATTTTTTAGGAGACTCTTTTGGCATTGAACAGAGAGTTGAGATTTTTCTGCCAGATTTGTGCATGCTACCTCAGCCATAAAGATAAAGATTTAAGTGAAAAGGTCAGTGGCTCCGTAGGGGCTAGTTTGTTTAATGGTGTGTTTTGCTCACTCCTCCTTTAGCTCCTTTTCCTCATTTATTTTGCTTTTTAAAAGTCTTATTTTAAAATAAGTGGAGTCCTTGTTAACCAGAGCACTGAACTACCACAGCATCCTGCACACGCACAGGAATACATCTGCATGGAGCCAGGTGCAGGATGGGGGCTAAGTCTGAGTTGCATTGTTAATTAAAACTGAACTGAAAATGTAAATAGGAAGATTTTTTTCCTCCTCAACAATAACTTGTCCTAAATGCTGCCACTAGTAAAATCCTTGGGCTGCATGTAGCCAGATCTTCATTAACAAAATATATTGTAAGGATTTTCAAAATAGTCTTAAATTTTACATGTAAAATAATGATAAGACTACTAAAATGCACAATGTAATATAACTTTCCTCCTCCCCCTACAACTTTCCCAGCGTCTGGGCTACAATGTAGGTCCCTGGCACTGAGGAGGAAAGAAACAGATGAAGTCTAGAGGTTTGAGCACAGGACCGGATGCTATGAACTCCGGAGTTCTAATTGCAGTTCTGCCATTGACTCCCTCAGTCTTTCCATCTCTAAAGCAGAGATAACAAAATTTACCTTGAAGCGGTGTTGTTGGGATGGATTAATATTTGTCAGGTGATTTGAAGACTAAATGTATTAACATAATTATATAAACTGGAGTCACAGCGTGGTGTGTGCTGTGGTGCCACCCTGGATTGGGAGTTGGCAATCCGTGACTCAAGGAAACTTAAATGGGTGGTGGCAGAGAAGACAAAAGGTTGCTCTTTACATTGCTGATGTGCTGTGAATGCTCCTTCTAACTTGGGTAGTTGCCAGGGCACTTTCAGCACATATTACTGAAGTAAATTGAATTTTCATATTTGCATTTGCACTTCTCCTTTTAACAATCACTGTTGGTGTGAGTGTATTTACTGCTCTCGTTTGTTTATAAATGCCTGAAAAAATGGGTTTAATGGCTGAGAATGTAACTACAGAAATGGAAAATCAGGGAGAAAGTGCTCAGTAGTTCAGCTTCCCAGACTTCTAAGAAGAGTGACATTGGCATATGACAGAATGCAGCTTCTTTATACAAGGTAGAAAATCTTTAGGAGATCAGGGTGGGGATTAAACATGCAGCTCTTACAGGGGCATCTCCAGAAGGGCTGAGCTATGGTATTCCACCCCTGTGGGACCAGGCTCAAAGACAGAGCTTTGGTCTTGTAGGAATAATAGTTGATAATGGAGATGAAAAAATATCATTGTTCTGGTGGCTTTCCCCCAAATTCCTAAATCCTTGTTTGGCATGTGTGTATGTTACAGGCCTTCATGATACTCTGTGATTTACTGATGATTTTGAGTCACCAATCTTCAGGTGACGATGAAGCTGTAGGAGTCCTTCAGTATCTTCCCAGCACATCCCTTCAGTCAAAAATGCTCTTGTTTATCCAGGATCATGTTTTCACGGAGGAGAAAGAAGAAATCAAAGGTCAGCCACTGTCCTCAGCAAGGAAGTAAACTAACATTTTCTGATGTCATTCATCTGCAGCATTTGACATTGCCAGGCTGAGGGGCTGCTAATTTTTTTGATTTCTTTACAAATAGAGCTGTAGCATATGAATACAAACAAAATGGATCACTCAGTGTACACAGATTTATGTCTGCTGTGGCTTTTCCAGAGGAGGTATTGCTAATTGATTTTTATATGGAAGGGGCTGAGGTACATAGTACAATGATGGGTAGCACTATCAAACCTTGAGATAGATTTCAATGGGTTAGAATTATTCTGTTAACCATGGTCCTGGAGGGATTTTAGTTGAGGAACTGTGCATCAGTTGATGTATAACAGTTCCAAGCCATCAAACTAAGGGATAATATATATTATTCGAGTGAGTTTGATTTTGCAGAACGTATTATGGTATTTGCTGTTCTTCTGTCATTTTCAAACAGATTTAGAATAGTAATGCAATAATTAGGTTTTGTTGTGAATGATTTTGAAAAGATGCTGCTAATTCTTTGTGGTACCAAGGATGCGGCTATACGACCTTGATAAATTGGAGAATTGGTCTGAAATCCACAAGAGGAAATTCACTTAGGAAGGAAAAATCAAATGCACAACTACAAAATGGGTTATAACTGGCTAGGTTGTAGTACTGCTGAAAAGGATCTGGTGGTTACAGTGGATCAGGAATTGGGGCCTGCAACAGAGCCAGTCTCTGGGCACCCTAATGAATGCAGCGGGCCTGTCGTAGGCTGCCTTATTGGCTACACCACTTGATCAGTTGGACGGGTCAGCAGACCAGCTCTTAATCAACAGTTCAGTGGCTGCTTCGACCATTTGCCCACAGCTGCAATAGCTCCTGCTTCCATCTTGATTTCAGTCCTGCTCCTGCCTTGTTCCCAGCCTTATTCCAGCCCTGCTTTTGCCTGGAACCCTTGGACCTAGTTTTGCCTCCCTCCAGGTAACCCGGTTCTAACCCCTCTGATCCGATTACATCTGACCTTTGACCCTAGGCACCGACAACTGTTCTAACCATTAGGCAAGACTCCTGGTCGGTGCCCATCCACGCCCTGGTAACTGATGATAGTGGATCACAAAAAGAAAAAGAGTTGTGAAAAAGGCTAATATCATTCCAAGGTGTATTAACAGTCATGTTGTATGTAGGACATAGGAGGTAAGCATCCCACTCTACTCGGCACTGGTGAGGCCTCAGCTGCGTCCAGCTTTGGGCACCACACTTTAAGAAATGTGGACAAACTGGAGAAAGTCCAGAGGAGAGCAACAAAAATGATGAAAGGTTTAGACAGCCTGACCTCTGAGGAAAAGTTGAAAATACAGGGTATGTTTAGTCTTGAGAAAAGAAGACTGAGGGGGAACCTGATAACCGTCTTCAGATATGTTAAGGGCTGTTAAAAAGAGGACTGTGATCAATTGTTCTCCATGAAGGTAGGATAAGAAGTAATTGGCTTAATCTGCAGCAAGGTAGATTTAGGTTAGATAATAGGAAAATCTTCCTAACTATAAGGGTAGTTAAGGTCTGGAATTGGCTTCTAAGGGAGGTCGTGGAACCCCCTCATTGGAGTTTTTTAGGAACAAGTTGGACAAACACCTCTCAGGGATGGTCTAGGTTTACTTGTCTGCCTTAGTGCAGAGGGCTGGACTAGCTGACCTTTTGAGGTCCCTTCCAGCCCTACATTTCTATGATACTTACCCAGCAACTTGCTCTGAGGAATTGAACATGAGAAGAAACATATTTTCAATTCCTCAGTCCTCCCAACAAAGGGTCCCAACTTCCCCCTCCAAACTCACTGTCTTACTCTCTCCCCTACAATAAACTCAGCAAACTCCTGCATCCAGGAGTGATTCCTTGTCTTTTCTCTCCCATGAGCCCATCTGCCTGTGTTATCTGTCAGCTGCCCCTTGTCAGTTCTGACCCTGACAGTCATTTACTCCTGGTCAGCCTACCTGCCTCTCATTGGTTCCTAGGCCAGAGGCTGGGTTTGAAAGCCAGAAACAGGTCATGTGGGATTCCTAGGCCAGAGATCAGGGAAGCTTTCTGGCAGCGAGGAGGCAGAATTCACTCCAGGCAGGAGTCTAACTCTCCCAGGCTTTCCTTCCGCAGGTAACTCTCTCCAAGCACCTCCAGCAACAGGGCTGGCAAAAGCCGTAAAAGCAATTGGTTCCCAAATGTATTATTATTTGTACTGAAGTAATCCTGGGGCCCACAGTTATGGACCAGGACCCCATTGTGCTAGGCACTATACATACACAGAACAAAATGACCTGCCCCAGAGAGTTTACATGCTAAGTAAATGTCAGATGTCAGTGTTGATAACTACTTGGAAACTTGCAACTGAATTCTTCTCTCACAGGCTGTGTGTACTGGTTTGTTTCTGTGGAGTTACTCATGAATTGAGTGCTGGGTGCTGGCATTGATTTCTTTTAAAGAAAAGATGTTGATATGGTTCACTGGTCTTTTTCTGTCAGATGTGTTTGGTTTTTGTTCTGTGTTCCGTGTTTTGGTCCTGTCCTACAGCTATAGCCAGGATCTTACAAGGAGATTCTGACTGGTAGAAATGTGAAATCCCTACAAAGATTAGAATAGAAAGGATATACAAATAAGTAGCTTGCACTGTCATCAGCTGTGAGCTTTGTAATGGAAATAAACCTATATCCTTTGGTAAGGATAGTGTCTGTTATTTAGAGAGTTGACTAAACAGCTGAGTTTGTGTAATTTGGGTTGAAGTTGGCCTTAAAAATAAAATACATTAAGTAAAATGTTAGAACAAAGCCTTAAAGCATGTTTATTTCCCTAGACTTGACAGAAGAGGAGGAGAGGGAAAAGGAGGGCTACAAATTGAATGATTTACACAGGAGGCGGAGTCTTCTTGCAGTCTATTGCAAGCTAATTGTGTTTACCGTGGTGGAGATGTCTGCGGCTGCTGAGATCTATAAGCACTATATGAAGGTAACACTTAGCTTTGAAAATGCATTTACGCCATGAAAGTGACTCTAGTACTTGTGGAACGTGCTGGATTAGCAGCCTTGGAGGCCAGAGTCATCTGTTTATGCAAAAATGGTTGCAGAAATGAACAGTAGCAGTGCAGGCTTCTCCCCACTGCTCTGCTAATGTACCTTAGAGTAGAATGAATGATTACTAAGAGACAGGGTAATTTAGTTCCCCGTTCATTAACTCTGGCTTCTGTAGAAGACTGCCAGAGAGGTGCCATTTGTGGTGGTGGCACTTGGTCACTAGGATCACTCTAAACTTGAGTGAAATGAGTGGTTTCAATAGCCATCTGCTGGCGATGACACTTGGTATCCACGTGGCCAGGGCTGGGTGTGAATCAGTAGTCTAGGTGTGAAAATCTCCATATTTTGTTTCCAACTCATTGATTCAGTCCTCCTGTCAGAATAATACTTAACTATTTTTCATCCATAGATCTCACAGTACTTTACAAGGGAGCATAAATAAAATTATCCTTGTGAAAACATGTAAAAAAAGTTCCTTTTAGCAAGATACCTAGGACCTGGAATATTTTATGAATTGTTCAGTTTTTCTTAGCAGTCTCTGTTTTTCCTGTGTTTCATGAGTGTACCCCAGGTATTGTGTATTCATAAAGCTGTAGTAAGGTAGTGATGTTTCTGTTATGTATTTTTTGCACTAATAGACCTACAATGATTTTGGAGATATAATTAAGGAAACCCTGAGCAGGACGAGGCATAACAACAAAATCCAGAGTGCCAAGACGTTGATTCTCTGCCTGCAGCAGGTAAGAGTAATGCAGAAGGAAAGGGACTCTGATGAAAGCCATCCCCACACTATAATTTTCTAGGTACCTTGTCATAGTTATTCAAACTAATTTAAATAGATAGTGAAAAAGTCACTTTCTTGAATTCATGTAAGTGCTTTTCTTTGTCAAAGCACCTTATGAGCCCTTTGGCCTAAGAGTAAAAACCTAATTTTTTTTGCCAAATACCTGATCTTTTAGGATTGTTATTATTCATGGAACGTCCTGTGTTGCAAGATACAGACTAAGGGCCTCTGGCTACATAGTGGTGAGCAGCCTCAACTCCCACTGAAATTGGGGGTGGTTGGCATTTCTCCAGAGGTGTTCAGTGCCTTCTGAGATCAGGCCCCCATTGTTTCCATGCTTGACTAGAGAATTTAAATTAGATTTTTATTGAAAAAATTGGACACACCTGATGATGGCCCCTGCTCCTCTAGTTACACCGACTCTGCCATAGCAGTATTGAGCCTAATAATCTGTTTTAGAAACTGCTCTAGCCTGGTTTCCTCATGGACATCTGTTCTCCCAGCATCCATGTCATACTCCTAAGTTGCAGAACAGACTCCTCCTAGATTGACTGATATATGAGCTCTGCTGACTTCACACACTTCGCCAGGAGCTTAGATCCATGACCCAACCCCTGAAATACGAGATAAAGTGAGGGTGAGCCGCATTTGGCCACATATATTCTGCCCACATAGTCAGAAAGTCTGTTACATATCACATAGACAACTGGCCCAGGTTGGTCTTTCATTGACCTTCAAAATTTTCAGGTCGCAGGGAACAAACTACCTACATGTTCTATTAGAAAAAAACTTGGCAATAAGGTCTGTGTCTCTCGGTTGGCTCAGTCATGCCCTCAACTACGTGGGCAAGCGTTGCTGCTTCTCTTTCAAAACTAGCCGTTGTGTATCCATGCTCTGATTTTCTCTAACCCTCAGGGTGAGATTAAGCCCTCTGACTAGATCCACTGATCTCAGTGGGAGTTGAAGGCACTTATCATTTTGCAGGATTAGAGGCCTATGCAAGTAAGGCATCCTACCTGCTAAACAGAGTGGCACCCTTTGCAGATAATTTCCCAGGCAGTGCTCAAACCTCTCAGGTTTGTTCCAAGTGAGTGTGATTCTTCAGCAAATAAATTTGTTCTGCGCTTGTTCGTTTCCTTTGCAATGCTTCGCTCTACATGAGGTAAGTATTGTATGGCTGGTGTGTTCTCCTTGTGCTTTTGTTGCCTGGAAGTTTACATGTTGGTGTTTGTGGTTTTGCAGTTGTTTCAGAAACATACAGAAACCCATGGTAGTACCCACAGCATGGATTCGTCTTTCACAAACATTAAAGAACTTGCTCGTCGCTTTTCACTGACATTTGGCTGGGATCAGGTGAAATCCAGAGAATCAGTAGCCATGATACACAAGTATGTGCCACATAACCATATATTGTCCATGGCATTGTTTGTGTTTATTTTCTCTGTTAAGTTACCTTGTCCCTCTTATTTTTTCCCCTCTAATAGAGAAGGGATTGAATTTGCCTTTCAAGGAGCTGCTGGAGTGGAAGGGAAATGCCTGCCTCCAAATTTAAGCTTTCTGTTAATCATCAGTGAATTCTCCAATAAGCTACTAAAGCCTGACAAAAAATTAGTGTAAGTTACCTTTATTGCTTACTGCCAGACAAGTGATCTTAGGTGATGCATGTCATATGCAGCACTTACACACTCGTGCATAGATCGTTTTTGTACAGTGTGTCTTTGTATAATGGATGGCTTGATATTGTTGAAAGAATTGTCAAGTACTTCTCTATCTGGCCAACTTTGGAAATCTGTTTGGTTTCCCATCAGAAGTGTGGATGATTGGACCCTTTTTCAGTTTTGATTTCTTCTCCATTTCAGTCTATGCTAGCGGTTTTTTGGGGTTGTGCATCTACATACCCAATCAGTTTTTAGCCATAATTACAACCAAATAAAAAAAAAAGGTGTTTAAAAAAAAAAAAGGCCATGGGGGAAAATGGTGTTAACATTATATATGAGGGAGGGAGGTATATTGGCTGGCAGGAGCAAATAGAACCCTTTTTTTAAGGGTGGTCTCAAATGTTAAACAGTTTAAGTTCTGTCCTGGAGCAAAGCAGAAGAGGTGGAGATAGAGTTAATACAGTGACAACGGAATGGAAGGAGCCAAAACCACAATCCATATGACTGGGGCAGACTAGCTTCTCTGAGGATTCTGTTACAAAATATGTCGCATGAAGCTCTTCACTGCAGGAACTATGTCTTTGTAGAGTCCCTGACAGAATGGGATTCTGGTTCTGATTGGCACCTCTGGGTGCTATTGTAATGTAAATATTAAAAAATAATAATATAACACTGGGCCATTTATTCTTATGGCTCTGGATATTTTGTACCCTAGTACAGAGGAATATGATAGTGTCTGTTAGGCTTGGTATACGCTATCAACTTATGTTTGTATAACTACATCGTTCAGGGGTGTGGAAAATCCAATCAGAACACCCCTGAGCAACATAGTTGTACTGATCTAACTCCGGTGTGAACAGCGCTGTGTTGACAAGAGGGCATCCTTCTTTTTGGGGAGGTGGAGTACCTATACGGATGGGAGAAACTCTCCCGTCAACATAGGTAGCCTCTTCACTAAATGCTACAGCAGCGCTGCTGCAGCGTTTTAAGTGTAGACAAACCCATAGACCCTGCTTCCTCAGTGTTTGCTCTTCTCTGTCTCTGGTACTGCAGGAGCTCCTTCCTCCTTTCTGTCCCTTGGTTCCTTCCATTCCATTCCTTCTCTTTTCTTCCTTAGTCAGTGTCAATAGGTAAAGTTTCATGACAGAGAAGAAACCAGGCAGCAAGTAGGAAAAAAAGCATGCTGCCTGCATCCTGCCATGCCCCGTCTAACTTGCTCACTACTGGATTGTTAAGCTTACTGGTTATAGCATTAGCATGGGTTCAGTTGGAACTGATCTTTCATGGAGAGCTTCAAATGACTTGTATGCCAAGGATTAAGAGTGGTAAAATGTTTAACCTCATGCTACTCTTAATCCGTGACAAACAAAATGTATTCAGGATTCAGTTATACACAGACTGCATATTGAGAAATGAATAAGATATAAAAATGCAACGTGCAGGGGGAAAATGTGCAGTGTGCAGATTCCCTTTTTTGTATTGTGACCTCTGATTGTTTGATTTTGATCAGTGTATAATTATAGTAATTACCCTTTCTAATTTTGCATTTTTGCCAGCCAGGATCTCTTGTGTGTACCACTAGATTGTACCTTCCACAAACGTTTGTTTAACTCCATCATCACAATGTGGACTTGGTTTAAGCAATCGTTCTCTTCCATATGGTGATCTTTTCCCCCTAGGTGGATTTCTGTTAATTCACCCTTGCAAAACTCTATTTACCAATTTGTCTTAGGAGAGTAACTTTTTTTTTTTAAATGATAAAGGAAAATATTTCATCAGCAGGATGGGCAGGATGGTAAATTTTCATGATGATTTTCCGAGGCTGTGTCTAATTTTTTTTCCAGTGGGTATATTCCAAGAAAGCAGGAATATCCCTACTGGTTTGCTCATCTTTTGACCACTCTTGTGAGGAACCAAGCAAGAAACACACCTAGAGTTTAGCTTCAGCTGTCTTTGACTTGCCCACCTATGTTGGAAATAAATGAAAAACAATAAAGTTCTCAAGGAGGGGGAAATTGCAATTTTATCTACAACTCTACATTCAAGCTATGTTTGTAAAGTAACAGTTTCTTTTCTGGGAGGCTCAAAATGCCTTGCAAGGTCTGGAGATTATATTTCCTTTTAGAAATATTTAGGTTTAGTTGCACCATAAATTACAGGATGGAATGTTTTAAGTCAACATGAACTTTTGAAAATAAACATCTGGTTATTTTCATTTTTATTATTAATCAGGCACAGGACTGGTGAACAGACCTGCATAACGTTTGTGAATGCACCTATAACACATGAAAAAGAGAATAAGGACATTTGTTAGAAAGGAGTATAGCCAACATGTTCTAAGTATATGGAGTTTAGTGGTAAAATATTTTACTTGTCAGTTTGTGTTTGCCACAAAGTATACATAGAAACAATTTATTAAATAAAAAAACAGTGCTAAGGGCTTCAAAATAGGAGTGTTTCCACTGACATCAGTGGGAGTTGGATTAGACCCTAACATTTTAGTTACAGTACACTCTTGTTTGAAACTAACATATTGCATAATCAGTGTGTTGAGTCTCCATGATGCATGACTCTAATCATCTGAGTCATCCTCCCAGGACTGTCTTTTTCTTGTTTTGATGAAAGCTCTGATATTTTCCAGGCTGCCTTCCGAATCAGAGTAGTAATAACAATATAAAATTATAATTAAAATAATTATTGATATAATTAATTATATTAAAATGTATAAAATGTTCACGGTGTGCATGTTCTAACGTGGGATCTGGTTTAACAGTGCTGGCTGGATTGGAAGTGATGAGCTGTAGCTGGAAAGCATTGAGCCCGCCAGCCCCCACCCCTGCTTTCTAATTCCGGAGTTCATTTTGTCTTGCTGTTAAATCAAAGGGAATGCCTCTCAGTTGGGTTTCCCTCTGCTCTGCAGTTGAGGAGGCAGGACTAGACCTTTCAGTTGCTGGGGAGGGGTTATCTTACAAGAAAACAACCCAGTAAATTGCTTCCTGGCAGCGGCAACAAGCAGTTACTTTCCCTGTGCTAGAGTGTAGGAAATTGTACTAAAAGATGGATGTGGCTCTGTAATTATTGGGACTCAAGAGTTGTTTGTAATGTTCTGAGCAATCTTTCAGCTTCGGAAGCACTCACACTGATTTGTTTTCTCGGAAGGGGGAGCCAGGCCCTCCCTCTTTCTGTTGCTTGATGGATCTGGTTCTGCCTCCCCAATTGCAGAGGAGAGGGAAAAAACCCGAATGTAGGAAGGGTTAGCCTAGATAGCTACAGAAGAAATTTTGATTTTTCTTATACTTCTCATTTTTCCCCAGGTATGGTTACCTGCAGAGGTATATAACAGAGCCAGCATCTTGCAGAGGAGATGAATGGCACCCCTTGGTTTGGTACAGGAACTCTTTGCTGGCAAATGAAGATGAGGAGAATTCTGTTATCAGCAGTTTAAGAGAATTGTCACCCACAAGCAGATCTAAGACATCTTCTTTTAAAAGAAAATTGTCTAATGGTATGAAAGTTCCACCATCTTGTTAAATCTGATTGGTTGTGTCCTCAGTAAAAATGGATAACATATCACATTAAAATACTGCAGTGTGTGGGCTGTTGTAGACTTGCCATTCTAAACCCTATATTTTTCCCTTCAGATTTGTTGTTTTCATCATTCACTGGAGAGAGGCTTGGTCCAGTGGTCTGAGTATGGGAGCCAGAAACTCTCGAGTTCTGTTTTAGTCCCTGCTGTCATTCATGCCTTCGGTAGCCTTGAGCCAGTCACTTAACATCCCTGCCTCAGTTTCTCCATGTCTAAGTGAGGATAATATTACTTGACTCCACACAGTGGTATTGTGAGGATTAGATAAATTTTATGAAGCCCTATGATAATGAAAACAGTTATTTATAGAAGTGCTAAATATAGATTCTTACTGTTGCTATTTTTGGGATGTATTCTGTTAGAAGAACAAAGGGAATCCTCTCCAGAAGATCCTTTAATTCCTCCCTTTCTGGCTTACAGCCATCCTCAGGGCTATGCTTTGCACATCATCCTTCATCTGAGGAGTTGATGGGACTCCCTTCAGAGTCCAGTATCTATGGCAGGGGTGGGCAAACTTTTTGGCCCAAGGGCCACATCTGGGTAGGGAAATTGCATGCAGAGCCATGAATGTAGGGTTTGGGACGGGGTTGGGGTGCGGCAGGGGGCTCAGGGCAGGGGGTTGAGGTGCGGTAGGGATTTGGGATGTGGCAGGGGGCTCCGGGAAGGGGCTTGGGGTGCAGGAAGGGTGTGGGGTGTGACAGGGGGTCGGGGTGTGGGCTCTGGCCAGGTGCTGCTTACCTGGAGTGGCTCTGGGTGGCAACAGCATGGAGTGGAGCCAGAGCAGGTTGCCTGCCTGCCCTGGCCCCACGCTGCTCCAGGAAGCGGCCGGCACCAGGTCCCTGTGGCCCCGGGGAGGGAGGCGCGGGGGAGGAGGGGAAAGAGACAGAGGGCTCCACGCGCTGCCCTCCCCTGTGGGTACCTTCCCTAAAGCCCCAAAGCATTGGCTGTGGTTCCCCGTTCACAGCCAATGGGAGCTGCGGGGAGAGGTGTCTGCAGGCAAGGCCAGCGCACGGAGCTCTCTGCCCCACTCCCCACCCCAGAGGCCACAGGGACGTGGTGATGGCTGCTTCCGGGAGCGGCACGGGGCCCGCAGTGCCACTGGGGTGGCAATCCCGTAGGCCGGATCCAAAGCCCTGATTGGCCAGATCTGGCCCGCGGGCTGTAGTTTGCCCACCCCTGATCTCTGGAGACATGGCGGGGTTGCAGCAGCATGTCACAAAGGTGGTCTGCCTTTCCAGAGAGGCTATGTGCACAGTTATTATGTTAGATCATATTAAAGAAGTTCTGTATTAAAATCACAAATGAGTTTGATTTCCCATAGTTTAAATTCCAGGGTATTACTAATTAAGAGGTCTCTTGGTTTTTGGTACTGTTTCTCTCCTTCTATGTGTGAAACTTGCAAGCTGCTAATTGTGTTAGTACATTCTAAGACAGAGTCTGTTCTCAAAGCAATTCTTTGTAACAACAACTACTCACACAGAGAGAGACTCAAAGCAATACTCTGTAACAATAGAAACAGCACCCAGAGACTCCCCACCCTTTTGTTGTATTCATCTAGCTTTGTTAACAATTGTGATTAAAATAGAGATAGAGGATGTATGTGGATGGATGCTTGGTGTGGATAATAACTGAATGATCAGGGAGGTGCCAGCCTAAGAATCCAGTGTCCATCGGCTGAAGAAGGCGTCAAGTGGAAATAACCAGAGGACCCCCGGAGGGCAGACTGGAATCCACCCAAGAGCCTGAAGAATGGGAGAACCAAAGAACAAGATAACATCTGGCAGCACGGAGCCGTCAGGAATGTGCTATCTGCTGATTGATTCAGCAACAGCATGATGAAGCAATTCCCATAGACTGGCATAGGAAGAAACTCCTATAAAAATGGACTCTGAAAGTGAGAACTTTGGGGTCTGATTCTGCAAACCAACTTCCAGGAGCATCAGATGTGCATCTGACAAGGCCCTGCTCCCTCTTCATGTCCAGGCCACCTGGCCAGTGGCTTGGCATGAGCACCTCTAAGGCTGGTAACTATGATAACAACCTTGCAGAACCTGTGTGTGTGTGTATGAATGAATGTGTGAATAAATATGAGATTGAATGGAATGTTATAGCTATACCTAACTGCTTACTATGATTCTTTCTATATTCACAATAAATATAGTATTTTGCCTTTTCCCCTTTAATAAGATCCTGCTGGTTTTTATTTTATTGGTATAACATGTGCAGCACTGACAGTGCCCTCTGGTCTGGAGAGGAAGAGTCAGGGCCCAGAAACCTAAGCTGGAGGTCTCACATACGCTGTGCAAAATCAGCCACTGCCCAAGCCGTCATTTTGGGGTTTTTTGTATAGATTTTAGCTGGGTCATTCAACACAGTGGAATTTTAAAATGAATGCTTTGCTCAAAGTGTCTCTATGAATTTAGCTTCCACAATGACTGCACCCATTGTAACAAACGCTGCTTTTTCCTCTCTCTTGGGCTGTTTGAAGTATTCCTCTCTCAATGTCTCAGAGAGCGAGAATGAAGAATAGTGCTATTGATTGTCTGTTACAGGGTCCCTGCCTGAAACCAGCCACACTGAGACAACAAACAAGACTCCAGACTTCCTGTGCACTCCAGAACTCACTGCTGCAGCAGGGAAAAGCAGAAAGAGGTTGAAGTCTCAAGATACAAGTCTCCAAGAATGTCTGCCATTCTTTTGTCCAATGGCACTGAGCAGAAGACGTCGGTGAGGGAAAAATGGTTCACAAGCCCCTAAAAGAGCTGGGATTTTTCAAATACGCAGACTGCAAAACTGTGTGCAATTAGTGCAGTGTCTTACAGTTCACACCTTGGGGCACTCCTTGTGTTCTCAGTGCTGCTATGGAGCAGTTGCCTGGGGCCATACCCTCCTCCTGATTCTATCTTCTAACTTCTGTGTTCTCCTCTTGGACGTACAGGGAGTGAACAACCCTCTCCCCTAGCTGCCCAGACTCCCGTTGCTCCCTAGTCCTATAGGCAGCTGGGGAAGGAGGAGAAGGCTTCCTGCCTGACTTCTGTAGTTCCCAGTCCCATTGAAAAAGTTGCAGAGGGAAGAATGGGGCTTTCCAGCCCCGTCACCTCAGATTTGAATCACTCCCTAGCCCTTTGTGGAGCGCGAAAGGGGCTTCCCAGGTACCAGTTACTACCCAGCCCTGGGTTTGGGAATGAAGAAGGGTGTTTCTCCACCCCACCTGTCCCCAGTTCCTCTTTACTCCTAAGAGAGAAATTGGAAAAGGAGACATCGTCTTGGCCTCAGCAGCTGTGCTGCTGTGTTTCTGGTGAATTCCTTCCTGCAGGGCCTGAGGCCAACTGTGTGGGAGCTCCACACAGAACATGACATAATGGAGGAAGTGCCCAACACTATCCACAGAACAGGGCCTCTGGCTAGACTCCATGTGCCATCCAGTGCACCAAGAAAACACACAGACAAACAAAGCAATATTTTCTCTGTAATATCTCAGGTACAGAAATCTGAGATGTCACTTGTCAAGGTTAAAAGGGAAAACACAAACTCCAGCCAGAAATGCAGTTTTCAGGGTGACAGCGCCCACTCTCCTTAAATGGATTTACTGGACAGACTCATAGGTGGGTGGTGGGGTTTTTTTTGTTTTTTGTTTTTTTTTACACTTTTTGGTTGTTTGGTGCCAAGTTGCACGAATCAAAATTCGTTTTATCAGAATATAATGAAGCTCTTCCCCACTTTGGGCCAAAGACTTTGGGCTTCTTTATGCAAGAATCCTAAAAGCAACTCGTATCATGTGCATGCAGTCTTTAAAATCTGCCCTCCCTTTTAGCGCCGCAAGCAAAACACATTCTAAATAGAACCTCCGTCAAAGGGAAGTGTGTTTCCAGGCCAGGAACTAAACTGCTCGGCTTTTCGTTCCAGCGAAGATGTGATCAAGGCAGAAGACTTCTCAGCAGATGGTGGAGCAGAAGATGTAGGCGAAGATGTGGATGTTGTTGGCGCAGACCAGGTAATGGTAGTTTAGTTTTGGCTTATCCAGATTTGTACAGTTGTACTTGGGCTGCTGTGTGGAGGGGGAGAAAAGTGATAGTACATAACCCAAGAAGCCAGTTTGTCAAGCTCATGTCTTTGCTCCCCCCATGTACCCTACTCCCCTTTACAGCTGCTAGAAGCGGGAGGAAGAAAGACTTTTCATTTTTCCCCCATGCGTAGCTTGACATGGGTTCTTTCTCTTGCTTGTCTATGGAGCCTCTCCTAGTAGCATCTAGGCCCTGTTACATACATTAACAGCTGTCAAAGATCTTTCAAGAGAAGGTACCCATTCCCCTCCTACATACTTGGAAGGCACTTGTTTATGAGCAGATGGCTCTTCCTGGTCTACAGCAGGGACACATTTTACCCTTTAGAGTAATGTCCAGCCAAGTCCCCTAAATATAAACATTGCCTTTCAGAAAATCCCATTTAATCCTATTTCTTTATCAAGCTGAATTGAGGCTATCAAGTTTCCCATGCTGCAGCTGCTAACTTCACTAACCCCTTGAAGCAGGTGAGCAAACTACCTTCCTTGCCTTTCTTTAAGGCAGTGGTCCCCAAACGTCTGAGGGTTGTGCCCCCCCTTTACCCCTGTCTGCGCCTCGCCCCCCCCCCCCCCGCCCACCAGGGCTGAGAGTTAGGCCGCAGCTCTGTGTGAGGGGATGTGGAAGGGGTAAGGAGGCCGGGAGCCAGGACTATGGCTGGAGGCAGGGCCGGAGCAGAGCTGGGGGTGGGGCAGGACTGGGTGTTGCTCCCTCCCCTCCTCCTGTGTGGGCTGGCCCGGGCCTGCCGGGCCCCCCGAACATTCCTCTGCACCTCCATAGGGAGGTGTGGCCCACAGTTTGGCGACTTCTGCTTTAAGGGTTAGTGAGGACAGCAGGTGTAGAAGGTGTGCATTTCCTTTAGGTTGTTCTCATTATAACCCTCTTCGCCTCCTTTTAGACATTTTATTGGACAGCATTTTTGAAGGTGGTGCAAGCAGAATTGATTTGTAAATGGCTTTTTTCCCTTGTGGGTCTTTCCAGCCTTCCCAGATATGTTCATTATGGGACTTTCTGACTTTCAGGTATGTGATGGGTTGTATCAATCCTGCACACGGCCAAGAGGTGCTGACCAGTCACTGGAGACCTCACCTCCTTGCCTCTGTTATACAGGCTCCAGGTGGAGGGGACAGATAAAAGGAGGCAGCGCAGGTCAGTTGGGGCTGGCGGAAGAGGAGGAAGGATGTGTGCTGCAGGCTGCTGCAGAGGAACTGTTGACTCACCCGGCTGTTGGGACCGTGGACCCGCCCTATGCTGCGGACAACTAGGCGGCCACAGAGACTGACAGGGACGCCGAGCCGCTGCCAGCTGAGGACATGCCTGAGGGGGACTTTATGGTAGGAAGTGACCCAGGGAATGTGTTAGGAGCCATGGCTTGAATCCTTAATAGGGAGTTTACCGGCTTCATAGGGCCCTGGGTTGGAACCCGGTGGAGTAGAGTGGGCCTGGGTTCCCTTACCCCTGCACTTGCCACTAAGAGTGGCTACAAAGGACTACTGATTTGGACTGATTGTTCACCCTGTCCTGCCCAGAGGGTCAGAGCCTCCGACTGTCCTTAACAGTTGAGTCCTGTTACGCGGGCCAGACCATCGTCAGTCGCTGCCCAGGAAGATGTGGGAAGTCATCTGGGAAGAGCTCAAGTCGATGCTGGCCGTTGGAGGCCATGACAGAATCTTGCAGTGAGTGGAGGAGCCCCATTGTTCTCGTTCCAAAACCTGATGGATCCATGAGGTTCTGGATAGACTTCCAGAAAGTCAGTACAATCTCACAATTCAACACCTACTCTCTGCCCTGGGTGGATGAACTGCTCGAGTGACTAGGGAATGCCAAGTTTATATCTATACTGGATCTAACAAAGGGGTATTGGCAAATTTCCCTGACCCCGACCTCCCAGGAGAAGACAGCCTTTGCCACGCCATTCGGCCTTTTCCCATTTACAGCCATGTCATACACGGGGCTGTGTCGACCTTCTAATGGCTTATGGATTAGCTGTTGCAGCCACATGATCAATACACAGCAGCTTATATTGACAACATAGTAGGTATACAATGCCAACTGGGAAGATAATCTAAGACACCTCACCACAGTACTGCAAGCACTTGGGGTAGCTGGGCTAACTGAAAAACCATCTAAATGCCACTAGGACAGAAGGAGGTGATATACCTGGGATACGCAGTGAGGCATGGGTGGTTGCACCCACTCGTGGATAAGGTCCAGGCCATGAAAGACTGCCCAACCCCCTCGACCAAAAGGCAGGTGAGGCAGTTTCTTGAACTGGCCAGTTTCTATAGACGCTTTGTGCTCCAGTTTGACACCCTAACAGCGCCCCTTAGGGATCTGACAAAGAACTCCCAGCTAAGAGGGCATAATGGTCCAGGGACTGTGAACATGCTTTCCAGACTCTGAAGGACTGATTGAGTCAAGAACCAGCCCTATTCCACTCAGACTTTTCGAACTGGTTTATACTCCAGACCGACACCTTAGAGGTGGGCCTCGGAACGGTGCTATCCCAGGAGCAGGATGGGGAAGAACACCCACTATTCTACCAAAGAAGGAAATTATTTCCCTGTGAAACGAGATATTCAACAATAGAAGAAGAGGCACTGGCAGTGAAATGGGCTGTTGAAGTCTTACATTATCATCTGCTGGGGAACCCATTCCAACGCATGACAGATCATGCATCCTTTCGATGGACCCACTCCTTGAAGGACACTAATGCCAGGATTAGAATTAGAAATGGTACCTCTGTCTCCAGCCCTACAAGTTCGAGGGACTTCACCGCCTGGGGAGAGCCCATGCAAATGCTGATTTCTTTTCCCAAGTGGGCAGAGAGGAAGATGAGGGAGGACAGCCATCAGGTCCTGACTTGAGGGGGAGGATGTATGACAGGGTGTATCAGGGTGTATGGGGGGAAATCAGGGTGTATTGAGGGGGGGAGGGATAGCTCAGTGGTTTGAGCTTTGGCCTGCTAAACCCAGGGTTGTGAGTTCAATCCTTGAGGGGCCCATTTAGGGATCTGGGGCAAAAATTGGGGATTGTTCCTGCTTTGAGCAGGGGGGTTGGACTAGATGACCTCCTGAGGTCCTTTCCAACCCTGATATTCTATGATTCTGTGATACTGTGAACCCCGCACTGGGCCAACAGGTGCTGACCAATCACTGTGGGACCAGGAGACCACCCTTCCTCGCTCCTGTTGTGCATGGTCCAGGTGGAGTGGACAGGTTTAAGGAGGCAGCCCAGCTCAGTTGGGCTGGAGGAGGAGGAGGAGAAAGGATGTTTGCTGCAGGCTCCTGCAGAGGAACTGTTGACTCACCCGGCTATTGGGACCGTGGACCCAGACTATGCTGCGGACGACCAGCCGACCACAGAGATGCCAAGCTGCTGCCAGCTGAGGAAATGCCTGAGAGGGGCTTTATGGTAGGAAGTGACCCAGGGAATGTGTTAGGAGCCAAGGCTTGAAGTCTTAATAGGGAGTTTACTGGCTTCATAGGGCGCTGGTCAGAACCTGGTAGAGTAGGAAGGGCCCAGGTTCCCCTATCCCCAACCCCCGCAGTTGCCACTAGGCATTGCTACCGGGGATTCCTGATTTAGACTGTTCACTCTGCCCTGCCCACAGGGTCAGAGTCCCAACTGTTATTGTTTGCCCTGGCCGGGAGCTCCAGGGGCTACAGACTGAGTGTTTGCTTTGCCCATCCCAGGGACTACGGACTGTTTGTTTTCTCTGCCCCGCCAGAGGTCCTGAGCCCCTGGGTCGTGATTGTTGACTCAAAAGGAATCCCAACAACTGTGTGATGGGGTATATCAACCCTGCACTGGGTAAACGAGGATGGCCCTGGTTGACCCACCAAGCCCCCATGACAAGGTACTTCTACTCTGGAGTTCAACAGATTATTTGCTTTGGCATTTGAGTGGTTTTTTATCTTCTTCACAGTTTTTGATGTTTCTTCTCCAGTGAGAATAGTGGCAGGAATGTCCCTGAACCTGTACTATTGGGATCATAAGTTCTATGTATAGATAGTGGGTGTGGCCCCCCAAAATCCTGCAACTTTGTTTCATTTTCATTCAGTCATTTGGCAGATGCTGCATCTGCCCTCATAGTTCACACACTAGCCTCAAGCCTTTCACATTAGAGCAGTGCCTCCCTTCTTCTGTAGAAGATCAAGTATGGTGCTCTCCTGAGTCAGTCAGGGCAGAGTGGTGAAGTGAAATATCACTCCAAGTGAGCTCAGACCTTTCGTTCTGACAGCAGGCTTGCGTCCTATACAATGTTTTCTTAGAACGTTTTTGTTTACCTGGAGTTGAGGAGGAGCAGATGGGAGAAATGAAAGATTAAAAACATGTTGCCATTTTCTGTGCAAGCTGGACATCTGGTTAGCTGAAAAACTTGTTTTTCATCTTTGAGTGATGGTCCCTACATGTATTCCAAATGGGGGGGTGCGCATGTGTGTGAGGTGTCTGAGCTGGAAGGTTTTCTTAGCAGTGAGGGTATGACAGGTTGTGTAGGTCGACAGCTCTCCACCTCCCGCTTATCACTGCATGGCCTGAGTCGGAACCTGTATAGAAGGGGAGTGGGGGCTACCAGTGCTGGAACTGTGGCCATGGCCCCTGTGCCTCCTCTTCCCCCTGAAGCCATCCCCTGGCCAGGCTGGAAGCCGGAGCCTGCTGTGATGGTGGGACCATATTCTCAACCCTCCTCCTCCCCCCTAAGCTGGTCTGAGCCGCTTGCCCAAGCCCCTCCCCCCCCCACTTAGTGGAGCTGGCCTGAGCCACTCACCCAAGCCACACCCCCTCCCCACACAGAGCCAGTCCGAGCCCTCCTCTGCTGCAGAGGGCTGACCCGAGTCCCACCGCTCACCCCCTGAGCCCCTTTTAGGAAAAACTGGGCATTTGTCCCATTTGCTTTTGCCAACTAATGATCACCGCACCTCCATGGTCACCAGATAGAGACTCATCATCTTCTGGGTTGGAGATTGGGTCATGCTCCTCTCTTCCAAGGAGTCGCTCCCACCACTCTTCCAGACACTCCTACCCTGCCATGGACCTAGGCAGAGGGGTGCTATTGGATGCTTGGCCTAAAGGTCACTGGGGACCTATGCTGGACATCATGGGGGACATCTTTCAATGGTGGGGGACTCCGCTTATAGACCTGTTTGCCACCTGCAACATCAGTTCTGCTTCCTGTAAGGTCACAGTGTGGGGTCCCTTACAGATGTGTTCCCGTTTCCATGGTCAAGACAGCTGTACTACACATCTCCTCCTCGCCCTCTGATTCCCAAATTTCTGATGAAGATCAGTGGAGACCAAGTGCAGGTCATTCTCATAGCCCTGGCATGGCCCAGGCCGCATTGGTTCACCACCCTCTTAGGCATGTCCTTGGAGGCATAGCTACGGCTTCCACAGCATCTGGACCTGATCTCTTGGGACCATGGTCAGCTGCTGCACCCAAATCTCAGCTTTCTTCATCTGATGGCCTGGAAGCTCCATGGCTGAATCCTGCTCGAAGCAGGTCTGCAAGGTCCTACTGGGAAGTAAGAAGCCCTCCGCCAGGGCCACCCACCTTCAAAAATGGAAGCGATTCTCCATCTGGTTTCTCAAAGGTTTGGAGGTCCCTTGTCCATCCCCCCTGGGACCTGAACCTTGTCCTGTCAAAGCTTACAGTACTGCTTTGAACTGCTAGCAACGTGCTCATTTTTACACCTTTCCTGGAAAGTGGCCTTCCTGTTGGCTATCACTTCGGCCAGAAGAATTTCAGAGATCTGGGCCCTCACATCGGAGTCCCCATAGATGTTCTTTTTTCAAGGACAGAGTCTAGTTGTGACCACACCCATCATTTCTTCCAATAGTCATCTCACAATTCCATTGCAGTCAAGCAATCTTTCTGCCGGTTTTCTACCCTAAGCCACATGCAAAGAGAGAGGAACTGTGCCTCCACTTATTGGATGTTTGGCCAGCCCTGACTTTCTTCATACAAACCATTCTGCAGATCTACTCAGCTGTTCATCGCAATAGCAGAAAGAATTAAAAGGTTTCCTCATCTCTGCACAGAATCTCATTGTGGATTATTTCTTGTTTAAGGACATGTTATGAATTTGTAAACATCTTGCCCCCAGCTAATCTAATGGCTCATTCCACAAGGTCTCAAACTTCCCCCACTACTTTCCTACCACAAGTCCTGATTCACGATATCTGCAAGGCAGCACTCTGGTCGTCAGTTCACACATTCACAGTGTACTGTGCCATCATACAGCAGACTAAAGACGATGCCAGCTTTGGCCATGTAGTCTTGCAGTCACCTTGTCCTTGAACTCAGAACCCACCTCCCATACAACTGCTTGTGTACATTGGAATGTACATGTGTGTGCACTCGAAGAAAAAATGGTTACTAACCTTTCCGTAACTGTTGTTTTTCGAGATAGTTGCACATGTTCATTCCAAAACTAATGCTCCGTCCCCTCTTTTTGGAGGCGGTCAACAAGAAGAAACTGAAGGGGGGGAGGGTGTGGCAGGGCCCTTTATATTAGCACTATGAATATGTGGCACCATAGTGCACTAGAGCTGACCCAACGGATACCACTTGGGGAAAAAATTCCGGCAGTTATGTTCAGGTTGTGCACACACCTACATTGGAATGGACATGTGCAACACATCATGAAGAACAACAGTTACAGAAAGATTAGTAATAGTTTTTTTCCCCAGTTGAAGCCACGTGCAAACAGGGAAGAACAGTGTCTTCACTTACTGGACATTAGACAAGCCCTAGCGTCTACATAGAAAGCACCAGACCATTCTGTAAATCGACCCAACTGTTCATAGCAGTAGCTGACAGGATGAAGGGTCTCCCTATCTCTGCTCAGAGAATTTTGTCCTGGATTACATCATGCATTCGCACATGTTATGATCAGATGGGTGTTCCGCCACCAGTTAACCTAAGTGCTCATTCCAAGAGGTTGCAAACATCATCAGTGGCATTCCTAGCACAGATCCCTATTCAGGACACTTGCAAAGCAGCAACTTGGTCTTTAGTGCACACATTCTCGTCTCACTACGCCATCACTCAACACAGTCCAGGGCCGATGCCAAATTTGGTCAAGCTGTTTTGCAGTCAACATGTTCATGAGTTCCAGCCCCACCACCTATGTAACTTCTTGGGAGTCACCTACAGTGGAATGCACATGTGCAATCACTCTAAGAAGAAGCAGTTACTAACCATCCGTAACTGTTGTTGTTTGAGATGTGTTGCACATCTCCATTCTGTGACCTGCCCTCCTACTCCTTATATCAGAGTTGGCCAGAAAGAAGGAAATAAGGGTAGTGGGGTGAGCTGGGTGCTTTATACTGGTGCTGTGAGTGCATGGCAGGAGAGTGCATTTGAGCTGCCCCCATGGGTGCCGCTAAGGGAAAAATTTCCAGCGACTGTGCTTGGGGCCTGCGTACATCTACAGTGGAATAGACAAGTGCAACACATCTTGAAGGATAACAGTTACAGAAGGTTAGTGACCATTTTTTTAAACTGTCAAGACCCATAAACCTTCTCCAGTGCTTCCCATGGCGCTCCACGTTGTCTTTGGGGGCCATCTTGCCCTATTTGCCCACAATTTGGGCAAGATTACCATGGACTGTTGGATACCGAAGATCATCCCAATGGATATGCCATAGAATTTTTCTCTCTTTCCCACATCAGCCCTCCTCCTGGGCAGCCCCAGGGGACCCTTCCCAGCAATGCATTCTCCAGCAAGAAGCAGACGTCCTTCTCGTGAAGGGAGCCATAGAGCAAATACCACCTCCCTATCTGGGAAGAAGCTTCTGTTCTCCATACTTCCTCATCCCAAAGGGCAGACACACTGCCCCATTCTCGACCTTCGACTACTGAACATCTTTATCAGGA